GGCAGCTTTCCCAGAGTTGATCTGGTAAAGGTTTTGGTGGACTATTTTGTTCTCCCTTATTCCCACCCTATGCCATACGTTTTCTCACTTTATGTGTGCACAGATGCGTATGTACTTGTACAACAATCTGCTTTATCAGCCTCTACCTTTTATACAGTAGAGATTTACACTCATAGCTGCCATAGATACAGCCTGACTTCACTGGTGATGAGTTAGACTACCGAATAGTCTCCTAAGATGTGTAGGTGTTTGAAAGGCAGCTGCTTTCTACTGAGCAAATTTGTTTCGTGCAGAAGGAGGCAGAATGACCAAATCATCAGTTTTATCTTATTTTGGGCCTAATCTCCCCAAATTAAAGCCCTCAAAATCATTGCAGACGTGTAACAAATGAGAGAAACTGGACCGCAATATTCAGGGCTGTTGTTATAGATAGGGTTACGCAGGCTGTCTTGATACTGATGCAATGGTCTACCTAACAGTTACTTTCAGCTGTGTTTGAGTGGTAGAATGCTGTTTTATTTTATAACACGGGTTCCCATTTGAACTGCAGCTAAACTGGTTCCACTGCTGTCAGCAAACTGTTCCAAAAGAGACTTTATTTTCCATCATGAAGTGTGTCCCGCAGTAACTCTTCCTTTTGTTGGTAAAGTTTGTAAAACCTTTACTGAGAAGTGTGACAAGTTGCAAATTTTGCTGGATGGGTTTATTTTCTATGCAGTCATACCTGTACCCCAGGGGAAAGCAACAAGAAGAGAACAATAAAATAACTGATGTAACTGAGTGCAGAATTTGACTTACCTGATTTCAGCAATTATCATGTCTTAAATTTTAGCTTATTTTAATTCTTGCAAAACAGTGTGAAATCACAGGCAGTCCACTTGAGAACTGAATTTCTCTCATCTGTTGTTATACTTCACTTGGTCTCCTGTAAGCTAAATTTTATTTAAAAAAGTATAAGAATTGCCACATTGGATTAGTTAAACATTTTTGGTATTTTGCATCCATGTGTTACCACTACTAATTGCTCCAGGAAAGCTGCTACAGTCTCAGTAGTCAATACCAAATAACTGACTATTGATTGAAGTTATGTCCTTCCGCCTTTCCCTCCATTGGTGAGCAATCGGTTATGCCCAGCACAACATACTTCATAGCAATTCCTGTCAATCACACCCTCTGCCCCTGCGTGGATTTTTTTCCCCTTATGAAGTTGCCAATTCCTTCCTGTGTGACTCTGAATTCCTAGCCTCAGTGACTGCTTTGGTGACTGCCTGGGTTCTTCTTCTCTTGAACTGGGCTTTATCTCTTCAGAATACTACTTACCTTTTCAGTCTGATGTTAATCTGGGCCAAATTTTTCCCCACTTTAACGTTCCTCAAAATCATTGCACATATATGACAGCAACAGGACTAGGTCAATGGTGCTCAAAGCTGATGCTACAGATTTACGCAGCCTCTAAGGCAATCATCCAGTATTCAGTAATGGTGCCATATATTTGGATCATTTCCCAATTTTTATTAAGCATCTTCATTCTGACTTCAACAGCCTCAGTCTCCCTCTGTACAGAAACTTTCTGCTCCTGGTGACATTTGTTACTTAACTCTGGAATGTACTGTGTGGTGTTTTTGGAGGTGAATAGAGTATGGCAAGCAAGTGTGTGTCATTGATTCATATAATGCTTCTATAATGTTCAATGTATTATTTCTCGTTCTGACATCAATCTTTGTAAGTCTTAGGAAATGAGCAGGCAATGCAACACTTACTATCTTCTAGTTATCCATCCCAGAAATTGTCACGCATAAGAGACGCCCATGTTTTCATTTGCAGCTCATCCATTCTGTTCTTTGGTCTCATCAGAATTTTAGTGTGCCTGTTATCCAGCTTCGGCAGCTTGCTTCTCTTTTATATGTACATTTAGAGCTTGTAGTTTCTGACAGTGTACTATCTTTATTGTTTGAAGAGACTAAGTCCAGAGTAGACTTTTCAGCAGTTTTCACTTTGCCTAAGGCCAAGGTGATGAAGGTTTCATGCAGCAGACTCCCTTAACCATGCTGCATTTGATACACGTGGGGTCTATGCAGCTGTCCATGAAAAACACACGTTACTGGAGCATTTTGTCAAAGGTGAGGAGTGATGAGAGGGACTAGTACTAATCTGGAGTATTAGTACTAATGCTAATTAGTATTAATTAATGCTAATTAGTACTAATTAGCACTAGCATCTGGAGCCTTTCACTGGAAATCAGTAGTTCAAATCTGTGATAAACAAAACTTGGTTAGTCCTTAGTCTCTTTGGTTGTTTTGTTCTCCTTCCTGTTCTAGCAGGTAGTTGTGTAATAACCAGCACTAACAGCTCCACTGCAGCATATTCTGCAGCAAGGCAGTATGTGTGACCTATGGACAACTGAACCCTAAAGCCTGTTTTGAAAGTAGTGTTGATATAGATTTATACCAGTCCTGTACAGCTTTCATAATGACTGAGAAGCGTATGGAAAGCTGTCAAACTAGCTCTAAACAAAACTTGAAAGGAATGCACCTACTGATCACTTAGTCAGGTATGAATTCTTGTCCTCATGTAAACACTGGAAAAACTCCCCCTGAATTCATCTGGATTTAGCCACAGGCACCTGGAAGATTCACATGAATAGACATGGAATCTCTTTGAGAAGGCTCCTGCCTTACAAAGCAGCTATTAGATGGATTTTTCTGCTAAAGTTTTTACTTTTGGTATTTATCTAATATTTTTAAATTGCTTGGGAGTAGAAAGTCAGGAAGAAGTAGATGTGGTTGCACCTTATCTAAATTATAATCTGGATCTGACTGCTTGTTCTATAGCTTGTGCCAGTACCGCCGATTTACCATGATTAACAAGGAAACACTACAGTGCAGTCCGTAACATTGCCCTGACCTCTGCCGCAACCTCTCCCTGGGTGTGAGCTCACATATGTCTGTCTGTATGGTGCCTGCTTTGACTATTTGCAGTCTGAACTGCTCTCAGGCCGGAAGGGAGAACCAAGGTGTATTACATCATTTGTTAGTAATTCAACCAAGAGGCAGTCCTACCAGCACTCACTGTATTTCTCTTTTTGTCCCTCTTGGGAAGAAATCTTTCTATTAAAACAGATAATAATCACATATTATGGCTTTCCTGGAGTGCCCAGGTAGCCTGTTGGCCTAAATGTATCAGGGAATAAAATATCATTAAAGAGGTAAAAATTGACCACAGCTCTATAGTCAGAAGGATGCTTTTTGATCAAATTGTTCCCCTATTTCCTGCAAGCAAATGCTCCATGAATAGCTGTCTCACAGTTATATACAGTATTTCTTTGGGAATAGCTGAGTTGTGTGTAGACGTTTGTAGACAGAGTCTTTTAGAATTCTGCACAACAAGTGAGTTTCGGTAGAGGTAATAGACATTATGCAGGGAAAAGGTTATTATCATTACTTGTCTTCCATTCTATGTGGCCGAAGATTTCACAATAATCTTCAAATCCTTAGCTATCTTAGCTAACCTAATTTACATTCAAAAGTTTGACATCTCTTATATTTGTTTTTTGCATATTATGTTCCGTTTAAATTTGCCTCAACATTGATTTCTAGTATTAAGGTCTCATGAAGCTGCTGGGCTAGGATTATGCACACGCTCTTTCGGACAGAAGCATATTGTTATATCTTGAATATTCCTGAGATCTGCCTTCATATTCTTCATGATGCTTAGCTGCTGAAAAATTTCCAAGGAGTCCTAACAGGATGTGTCCCACAGTTCTTTGGAGCACAGTGTCAGCAACTGTTGGGAAGACTGACTAAGCTAAGCATTTGTTTTGCCACAGCGGTGCCATTAGGGAAGGTTTCCTGGAGAGTTAGGGGCAGCGCATGTTAATGGAGGATGCAGATACTTGCTCAAACATCTGGCTGGAATCCAGTCATTTGTTTTGCACAGTCTAAGGTCTGGTCCTTTCCCTTTTTTTAATCAGCAGATATTATAAGTTAATCATGCTTTAGTGCTTGAGCTATAGTGTACTGTAGAATTAGCAGATCACTCCCTACGAGACTAAGTACTTTTGACTCTGCATATGTCATTCCATTTGTGCAGTCTTCAAGGACAAGACATTTTAACATTCAAAAATGGGGAACTAGCGGAGGCAAAGCCGGTATATGAATACCTCACAGGTTGGAAGGGAAGTGTGTGTTTGTAATTAGATCCCGACTTTCACATCTATTGTATTGCATTTACACTTCATGTTTGATCAAAACAGTATTAGATTTATACATAGAAGAGAAGGTTCAAAATCTGAATCTAGATCCAAACTGTGTAAGTTCCACTCAACATCACTGGAGATTTGCTTTTGTCAAAGCTGATAGTTTACCTAGGCTGGGATTACCTTTTATATGTATTATATATATAAGATTATACATATATATATACCTTATCGTGATTATACCTTATCATGTCCCTCCAATGGCTTACAATTAGTTTTAACAGAACAGTCAATCAATTTAGTGAAAATAAATTGTTTGCTTTTCTGCTGCTTTTTCAGTCCTCCACTTGATCATGCAAATACGCCTACGTTGCATCTTTCCCAGACCAAGTGGTGTTACAGTGTGGCTTCTAGCTGTACTACTGAAAGCTAACCTGCTCTAGTCAAGGGTGGCAATGTGCACACTGAATACAACTTCACATCCCCAAGGCATTACATATTTAGCCCTAGATATGGTCAATATTGCAAAATATTTTTTCTTTCCATTCAAAACGCCTGCAACAAGGACTGTATTGTATCTTATAGGGATAATATTTCATCAGATGAATTCAGTGGTATAAATTACACACACTGCATATAACATGAGGGTTCGTCAGAATGCTTGACAGCACAAAGCATGTTGAGCTCATGCTGCAGAGGTGGTCCTGGGTTAGGTGTAGTTTGTATCTATAGTTTAAGTCTATACCAGCTGTCTGCAGTGGACCATAGAATGGACTGTCTTCTTGGGAGTACCTCGTTTCCTCTTGCAGAGACACATTTGGCTCACTCCTGAAAGAACATGAAGGGTAATCAGACCTATATAAAGCATGGATGGACAGGTATTCCTAGATTGGCTGGTAAGGAAGTTACTTGACAGTGAAAGCCCATTCTTGGGAAACTTTGTGCGTCAGTTCCTGCTCAGCCATAGGCTTCGTGTATGACCTGAAAGAAATTAATTAACCCTCCTCACACCTTGCTTTCATAGACTCATAATGATACTTGGGTTGGAAAGGACTTTAAAGATCTATTTCCCACCTATAAAACTTCTAACACTTGTCAGTGTGGTGTTAGAACCACTAACAAGGACTCTCCTTCCTTTGTCTGTGTAGAGAATTTACCGGGTAAGATGGCTTAGTTGCAGCTTGTAGGCTCTGCTATAATAGAACTGATTAGTAAGAAAAGAAGACATTTCACACTTTTGTACATTATCACCACCTAAAAAGATTTGCTGATATGGAGAGTATCTATTTTGTTGCTGTGGGGTTTTTTGTTTTGTTTGCAGTGTTCTGGCTTTTTAAGATGTTACAGAGGACAATCTTTTAGTTTTCTTCTTTCCCAAATGAGCACATACTGTATCAAAAAAAGGAAACATCTTTTTGATGCCCAAGCATTCATATAAGCACCCTGTGCATTCCATGCATGCCAGGTGAAGGAGTGAGACCCACTGAAGCTGTCAGCAGAGGCTTGCTTTGGTTGGTTGCCCACATAAAATGATTCAATCTTTTCTGAGAGTGTTTGAAATCTCCTACAGAGCACCAGTTTTGGCAGCTGATCCAGAATTATTGAGAGATGACAGTAATACCTGAACTGCCTGATACAGAACCGAGTCACTGATGCATAAACCAAATTAGCGTAGAGGAAAGAGGACCACAGGGTAGGGTAAAATTTGCAGATTCTCTAGATCTAATCTAATGTTGTTATTCCCTAATTTTTCTAACACTGTTCATGAACTCATCAAATCCATCTCAAAACAGTTGTTTAGGGTTTTTTATCATAATGAAAAATGATTCGCTGCAATCTACTTTTTGGCATCTGTATATCACAGCAACAATTAGGAGAACTTGGAATCAATCTCCTCCTTCATGTTTGGGGTCCTGTATCTCACCTAGGAACTATTTAAAGATGTACATACATTGAAATAAAAGCATTAATCAGTGAGTCCAGCGGTGTTCTTCAAGATATGCATGTACTTGGCACCTTGTTGAATGTATATCCTTACTTAGACATTCAGGTTCCCTTGTAACTAGTTCTGTAGGGATTTTTTTCGGATCATGGTTAGCACTCCTAAGGATCCAAAAGCGTAGTAAAGAAGCTCTTTTGAGGTGACAGAAAGGGAGTGGAATCCTTTGCAGTGTATGAGAGGTTTTTAAATGTTGAAGGACAGGCTGAATTGGCCATTCTGTTTGATTATGTAATGAAAGACCCTATTGTAACAACGTGATACACACAGGGGAAAGGGGTTAGCGCTGCTCTGGGAACCTTCAGCCTGAACTTCCTGACCTTTCTGCAATTAAAATTTCAGACAGCCTTGCATGTGTGCATTCTTTTGACACTGCATTCACTGAGAGGGCAGTTGTTTTGATTTTGGGCAAGAGACTTGAAAACACTGTTGGATAAATAAATGTAAATCAGCTGCAGATGCCATTGTGTAAAGATCACTTCTGCAAAAGTGCTGCAAATACTAAACATCTGTGTAATGCAGCAAGTGGTTTATGTTAATAAGGTAATTTGAAAGGTGTTAGGGTGAGGTAAGGGAAAACAAAGCAAAGGATCACTGAAGTGCTTATGAAGAGTCTTTTTCTTTTCACTGGCAGCGCTGCCAAGTGCTGCACAAAACATACAGTTCTTGCCCTCCACAAATTCCAAGCAGGCCTAACGCTTCTGAGTGTTAATAACAGACCTGTTCTTCAGGCTGTCTACCAACTGCCTTTCCAGTTACAGCTCTCAGTCTCCTGCAGCTTATTAATTGCAAGCAACCTATCTGAATATGCTGGCTGACTGTGTGAACTTCCTATGACTTGGTATTTACCGTGTATTAGCTCCCTCATGCCCCATCTGAGTTTGTATAATAACGCAATGTAATTTTTGTCATATAATGTACAAGCATGCCTTAAGGGTAGTACGTTGGAGAGAGATGTGAGCCAGCTGTAAGTAACCTCAGTCCTGTGTATGAAGGCTTCTCATCTTCTCAGTGAAGTCAGTTAGCCCAAGTGGGTTTCCATGCTAAACTGTTTCTAAACTAATTTGGGTATCTGGACAGCGCAAAGCTAGAGTCAGGGCCTGAACTTGGCTGTGGACTTCTCTGCCATCCTCCATACATATGCTTGTAAAAACATATGCATATACATATCCTCCATATGCTTGTAAAAACCACAAGCCTCATCTTTATTAACTCTAAGGCACTTTCAAGATCTTGATGGTGTAAGAGTGCAGGAATACGAGAGCAGGAGACAGTACAGTTTTCTGCCTGAGCAGTGCTAAAGACTTTAGTGTAAATGGTGATTAAGCTTTTTGATTCTGGATAATACAACATAATCGGTGACACTAAGTTTTTGGAATTCATTGAGGTTTTCCTTTCTTTCCCCAGAAATGAGAACAACCACCCTCTGAAGTCATGGGCTTCTGAAAGGGCAAGATTTTCAGGTGGAAAATGGACTAAGCTCTGCTCAGACAGATGACTCTCTGGTATGGAAAGAATGAATAGACTATGGGGGGAGGGAGAAGAAGACTACTTGTACATGGTCATTGGCACAAATGCAACTGTTGCCTGGTGGAGGACGATGTGCTCTTGAAGGCAGCGCTCTTTAGTGCTAAAGAAGCTGGCAGATGAGCTCGCGAAGCCACTCTCCATCTTTTATCAGAACTCCTGGCCTAGTAGGCAGGTGTGAGAAGACTGGGGGTTGGCTGACATAACGCCTGTACAAAAAGAACAGGAAGGAAAACTGGAAACTACAGGCCTTTCAGCCTGACCTCAGTGCTGGCTAGAGCATTTGTTGAAGACTGAGGCAAAGAAGTCATTGAGAACCTCAGTCTTCTCCAAAATGTGTTTTTCTAAAGAAAGATTGCCTTAAATCCGATTTCCCAGGTAATCATGGTAAATCAGGTAAATCCATGTGATTAGGTATTTGAAGCATCAGCAAGGATGTATCCCATCAGGCTGTCAAGCAAGTTGGTTTTTTATCTCTGTTCCAGTTCAGGTTTATCTGGAACTGGAACTGTTCCTGCTCAGTTTCAGTTCAGGCCACTTACGGTTTGTTAACCACATTAGTAACTTGGAACTGACCCGTAATAGTTGCTGGAAAAGATGCTGCAGAACAGAGCTTCAGGCACAGAAAATACCACCTCCCTTTGCTAATTAACTGAAGTAAATTTTGAGAGGGTTTAGTTCCAGTTGCTGTTCCAGAAGGTTCCAAAACAACACTCCAGTTCTGGTTCAAAAAAGAAATGACATTTCTAAGTGGCTTTTGGTTGGGTTAATTTCTCTGATCGTATCACCAGCAAACATGCTCTTCTCTCAGGTGTCTTAGTTACCTGCTCTAAGATGTGGTGGGTGGTGCAAATAGAAAAGCCCTACTGACTCATTTACTCAATGTCCCTGATGAGATGGGTCTATTTGATTCCCCGCATTTGTGATTTTCTTAGCCCAGTAAATTGTATTTGAAACAGTCAATAGAGCTGCTGTTACTTAGAGGCTACTGTTCCAGTTCACAGATTTTCCTGTCAGGAAGGTCTCTTAATTTTCTTACTATTTCTAACACCACTGTAGATAATTTTTCCTCCAAGGAGGCCAGACCAATTAAAATTTGTGGTAGCTTTTTCTCCCCCTATGTGACTCCATACAGAGGGCCAGATTTGCTTCCCCCTTCCCCGCTGATAACTTACTCACATGAGTAGTCCTGCAGAAAGGAGCACACTTGTATGACTAATCTGCTCAGCAGCATACAAAGTTCACCGTCTGGACTAGAACTAAATGACTTTTCTACAGAGTGCTACAGAGGATGCAGAGGAGGTGGATTAATGCTCAGGAATCCCTAGTGGCACATGCCATACTTTGAGAACTAGACCATTCTTCCTGTCTAGCTAAACTGAGTCTGGATACCAAATTATTATATTTTTTCCTCAGATACCTTTTTCCACTAAAAACCAAAATAAAATGCAAAGTTTTTAGTGTTTTACTAAATTGTGCATGCACTGGCACTTCTGTAAGGGTCCTCTCAGTTGTGCAACTCAGATTAAATGCCTGAAAATATTGATGGTCTTGTTTCTCCCAGGCATTTGCTTACCAGATTTGTTGAGCTAGCAGATATATTGCTGTATGTTGGCACACACATTACCTCAGCTTAAACTAATTTATGGGATGTGGCATCACTGACACAGTTCCCCTTTCCAAACAACACTCTTAATCAGTCCCACTCAGAAACGTGTGTGATGTTGAGAAGCTGTAACTACTGGTAGCTTTTCTCTTGATTAGGACTTTGGCATTGGTCCATCATTCAGCCCTCTGTGAACAAATGTGTGAAGCAGCTCACTGAAGCAGAGTTGGCACTGACAGACAGGTCAGTGATTTTTTTCAGTCAGGAAGAATAAAAATGTGGTGAGACAACGGGGGGACAGGGAGAGTCATACAAGAGAACCCAGCCTATTTCCTTCTTAAACAAAGGTGTTTGGAGTGAGCCTGCGCTAGCCCATCATAGTGTTTATCTGTTATTTCTTGGGATACTAAGGAGGATATTTCTTACTGAGGTAGTGGAGTACCTCTACAGTCACTTTGGAAGACAGAGATGCTGGGGCTGACCCAGCATCCCTATCTTCCTTTTTTTGCAGAAAACTGCAAAGCAGGAACAGCCTGATAGAAGGGAGTAAAAAATGGATTTATGCCACTATGATTCCACTATCATCAACATCCACTTCACTACCTCAAAGTTTATGTGCCTCTCAAGAGAAGGATACCCAAGGAGCTGCTACAGATAGTAGCAAGGTTACCGATCTCTTCATGGACTACTCTGGAGTTTGGGAGGACTAGCATCTGCACTGTATCTCTCTCCTAGTCGTAATCTGCTTCATCCTGCTAACAACTGAATAAGAGACCTGCTGGTTATACAACAGACTTGTTCCTGCATAGGCTATGGTCACTTTCTCAGCAGACTGCTGGATTTAGCCTGACATGTCCTTCAGCACCATTTTAGCTGAGGAAAAGGAAAGAGAAGCAGGAACAAAGTGTTAAGAATTTACAGAGAGATGCTAGATACAGCCAAATATAATCCTCAGTCCATCTATTTCTGCAGCTTGTCTCATAACTCAGGAAAAAAATTAAGGAAATTAGCTAAAGGAATTCACTTTAAAGAGCTGTCAACATTTGGAAGTGTTTTCCTTAAAATTTGCCAGATATGTTTTCTATGTAACTCAGATTTTCTCACTGCCTCTTCCTTTATTTTCAAGCTAAATGAGCTGTTGTTTTAAAAATATATTTGCCTATACTTTAAAGGAAAAAGGAGGAAAAAAGGGAGGAAGCTAAAAAAGTGGTTGACAAACACAAATGAAACCTTCCAAATTTTTGCTTTTTCACTGAATAACTTGAACCTGTAAAAAACAAAATCTCCATAAAGTTTTTATCCTAAAACGTGTTGATGCACAGTAAGATGGATACTAGGGTGGTAAGATGTATGCACTGGAGGGGAGCTGCTGAGCCACAGCGCAGCCTCACATACCATCCTGGGAAATTGGCTCATGTTGAAGGGCCCACTGGTGGGGTGAAGCAAGCTTCTTGCTAAGCCAGCATAACTCACCCCATGGTTAGCAATTTTACTTTACTTTGCACTACAAAGGACACTGAAATACCTCAGCAAGTTTGCCAACAACACCAAGCTGTGTGATGCAGTTGACATGCTGGAGGGAAGGAATGCCATGCAGAGGGACCTTGACACGCTTGTGAGGTGGGACAGTGCCAGCCTCATGAAGTTCAACAAGGCCAAGTGCAAGGTCCTACACCTGGGTCAGGGCAATCCCAAGCACAAATACAGGCTGGGTAGAGAATGGACTGAGAGCAGCTCTGAAGAGAAGCACTTGGGGGTGTTGGTTGATTTAAAGCTCAATATGACCCGGCTTCAGTGTGCGCTCGCAAGGCAGAAACCAACCGTATCCTGGGCTGCATGAAAAGGAGCATGACCAGCAGGCTAAGGAAGATGATTCTCACCATCTACTCTGCTCTTGTGAGACCCCACCTGCAGTACTGTGTTCAGCACTGGGGCCCCCAACACAAGAGGGACATGGACCTGCTTGAGCGAGTCCTGAGGAGCCCCAAAGACAATCAGAGAGCTGGAGCAGCTCTCCTAGGTAGACAGGCTGAGAGAGCATGGAGAAGGATCTGGGGAGACCTTAGAGCAGCTTCCAGTGCCTGAAGGAGGCCTACAAGAAATCTGGAAAAGGACTTTTTACAAGGGCATGTGGTGATAGGACAAAGGGGAATAGATTTAGGCTGAAAGAGGGTAGATTTAGATTAGATATAAGGAAGAAGTCCTTTACTGTGAGACACTGGAACAAGTTGCCCAGAGAAGCTGCTGCTGCCCCAACCCTGGCAGTGTTCAGGGCTGGGTTGGATGGGGCTTTGAGCAACCCGGTCTACAGGAAAGTGTCCCTGCCCGTGGCAAGCGAATTGGAAGTAGATGAGCTTCAAGGTCTCTTCCAACCCAAACTATTCTATTTTTTTTTTCATGATTCACCCTGATTTTATTTAGACAAAAAGCAGTTAAAAAGAAAGGAAAACATGACTTTGTCCTTGGTTATTTTTGTCAGTCTGGGTAGGTGGTGTTGCTAGCAGTATACCAGACACTGGAGCTGGCAGTGCACTGCACTGAGTTGGGCAGTGAAATAACAGCTGTTTTCAAATGCTCTCAAGCTTCTTTTGCAGAACTGCCACTTCACATTGCACCAAACCCTGCCTTGACCCTTCTGCCTGACAGAAGAGGCCGTTCCGCCCTACCCCAGGGCAATGATACCACTGTACAAGGTTCCAGCCCACAGCTTAGGAGGTGTGGGTTACCCCCTGCAGGGCTGCAGAAGGTGCTGGAGTGTTGCAAGTTTGCTGCTGGGAGGCTGCCACTTTCCCCCACCAGCCCTGGGGAAAAAATAGGGGAAGGCTGGAAAAGTCCTGCGGGAGAGGTGCTTCATGGGGAGGTGAGGAGCTGGTTGTTGGCAGCTGGCCATTGCTGATTGGACACCAAACATAAATCTGATAGTCCCCACTGTGGGCTCCTTCCTCCTTTCTGCCTCCACCCCATCACTCCTCCTTGCTTTTACTTGCTAATTCCTCTGCTGACTCCTCTGCTGACCCCTCTCCTATGCACCCAAGCAAACCAGCAGCGTGAGACCCAAGAGCTGCTACGCAGCCGGGTACAATTCATGTGGGATTTAGGTAAGGCTCAGGATATTTGGGTGAGAAGGGAAGTCCTGGTTCATTCTGCTGCTTCTTTCAAGCCCCATGTGCCTTGGTAGTATTTTTAAGCGTCTGACAAATATCCTACCCTCATGTCACCTCTGCCAAAGACTAATGGGATGTGTAAGTATCTGAAGCATCTGTTGCCCATGTATATATCCTGTCCACCTGAAATAATGTTTTTTTTCACCCTTCTAGAATGAGGTAGAAGGAACAGAGTGGACAATATGATTTTTAAGGACACAGACAAACATAGGGGAGTCCATTTTTCTCAGTGGATAGTGTCTTGTCACCTGAGAACTGAAAAAGAGTAAGAAAAAAGTACAAGAAAAATGAAGCCTAGAGAGATTGGAGGTATCTCTGGTTTTCTGCCTATACTCTTTAGAATTACATGCCCTCAACAATTTGCAACCACCTTTTCCATCCCTCTGATTTAACGGGTTTAAAGCAAATGCATTCAATTGTGTACCAAGGGCTGGAGAAAAGAAAAGACAAGAAGACTGTCAAAAGCCAAACCCCAAAGTCTGTAAGTCAAACATTCCCACAGGTTTTCCTTCATGTGTCCTCTACCTGGAACCCTCTTCTCACTGATAACTGTAAGGAGGACTGAGACTCAGGACTTGCACCTCTCAGTTTGTTTCTTTCAGTACACCATGCTGTCTGACTGCTGGTGTCCCATGAGAAGCAAATTGCCATGACTAATAAGTTCCATATCACACTTCACATGAAGAGGTTTGGTGGCTTTTTCCAGAGCCCTAAATTGAATCAGGGATAAGCCAACAAAGAGATTACAGACATATCAAGAGTTTACTTTGCGTGATTGCCACATATTTGCTGCCAGATACAGTATCCTGTTTTCCCTCCACACTTCACTTGGAGATCACATCAAATAAATCTCAACTTCTCAGTTATGTAGAAATAAAGCAAGCTGCCCTCCAGTTTTTAAATTCTTCTTGTTTAGCAAGAAATGAAAAAAACAGGCATTATGCTGAGGGAATTCACTGTGATTTGAGAAGAGATCACAGTGGAATGTTTATTCAAGGTTTTTTTGGGAGATGACCTGTGAGCCCAAATCATGACAAACAGGACTGGGGGCAGAGGGAGAGAAAAACAGCTCTCTGTGGGCTTTTTCACTTAAAAATACTTTAGTTATTTATGGGAGCTTTCCTTCTGAAACCTGACCTATTTGCACCTGCTGCATGGCATTTGATGAACCAAATTACTATAATGAATCTATTGTTGCAGTTGGAAGTGAATTTCCTCACTGGCAGAGGCTAGATTTTAGGAGGCTTTATGCAACCTTAGACCTTATAGTCAGCACATATTTGGCTGGATGCTCAGGTTTCTGGAGTAGCTCCCGGTGCTGTCTCTCCTCTTAGGCCTCTTGATGTGACTGAGCACAAGTGACCTTTCCTCTTTGAGCTACAGAGACCAGTGGCAGTCTCTGTAGCAAAGTCACTTTTTGTTACCCAGCAATGGTGAGCCTATTGGAATGGAAATGCTTCATCGTTTAAAGATGTCACAATGAAGTCCGTCGTGTTGGAATGCCATATGAAACCAGATTCAGGTTAATTATGCTGCAAGCATTTGTATATTTTGAAAGTTTATCTGTCTTCAGTTGCAGTCAATAAATAAGAGTGCTAAAATCATCCTACTGCTGAAGGCTCTTGTGGTAGGTGCTAGTGAATGCAATTAGCCCTGGCAAATAAGCATGCCCTTTTTGTTGCTAGTTAGAAACATGTAATTCATGTCTTCATATCCCAGATTTTAAAGTTGAAATTCAGTGGTAATCTGAATTGGTTGGCTCTGAGTCAACTGTAATAGTAATAAAAGCCTTAGTGTGTATCAGTGAGTATCAAACCTCTAGGAGAGGGGCTTGACCGGGTGGGATGGAGATCACTGTGGCACACTAAGGAAGGTTTCACTTGCTGCCTTTTTGGAAATGTGCTGCTTTTTCACTGATTGTATAATCAGAGAATATAATTATTGTCTTCAGTGATTTATATTCATGTTACTGAAGGTAATTATGTTCTCCATATCCTGATATCACTGGGAGAAGAAATGACATTACATGATGTTAAAGCCCATTCAGCTTTGTTTCTTCTTGGCAACATGGTACATGGATTGTTAGCAGGGATCTGTTGCTGTCAGGTAGTGACTCAATGAACTACCTAAAGAACAGTTGTCATACAAAAGATATCACCACAGCAACGGACTCGTTGCTCTTTGCCAGCACAGGTTTGAATTCAGGCAATTGCTGTCTCCTAATATCTTATCCCCTGACCAAAATTTCTGTGCATCAGGCAGGGACTGATGAAGAGGACATAATGACAGAGAGACAGACCGTATTTTTCCAGATAGGAACTTAATTTTTAGAGCTCTCAAATAAGCAATAAATTTGTAAGAAAAGAATAATGACATTATCTTACAAATGCTTTTCTCCATCTTGGGCCAGAAAGCTGCTTTTCTGAAGTTTAAACTGCAGCACTTGAAGCATGTAGACTTTGTGAGCCTGTACTGTGTGGAGTAGAGAACAGGCTTGCCAGTGAAAGTTAAAGGAATTTGCAGTTTGTAAGTATGTAGTGCTTGCAATAACATAAATATTTCATTGCATGTCACACTTGCAATTCCCAGCACAGTTAATATAGATATATTGTCAATCCGCAGCCACTGAAGAAGGTGAGCTTGTCTGGAAACTGATTCATTCCTTTACTGAAAGCCCATTCCCTCTGAAAGTCTGTAGTGAGCTGATTGCAAAATGTGGGCCCCTGGTTTCCCTCCTAAGCACAAGGAGATTATTTTTGTTATTTCTTCCCTAGCAAAAACTCTTGTGTCTCTCATCCTGACGTGTTTGTTTACCCTGGGCTTGAATAAGTCCTCCACCTTCATAAGTCACAGGCAGAACCACCACGTCACAGTGTTATATCTCAATTTCCTTAAATCTGTTGCTGGATAGATGGTGGAATCATTTTTTTGGTGCCAATTTGCTCAGTAAAGCAAGCAGGATTGTAGCAGCAGTAAAACACCACTGAAAATGATGAATATTTTTCCCTTGCAAGGCAATGTCTATATATACACATTAGAATCCCAAGCAAGCTTCCTTAATCCTTTTCTACTTGTGTATATCTTAACATTTTTAGAAGTGGTTAGCTATGAAATAATTCTAATAATAAATTGCAATGTTTATCTGAGAAATGAGCACAGGTTTACATCTGAAGTTTGTTTTATGTAACTATGATAATAAAAAAATTTAAATCTACTCTTTGCATTGAATCTGAGCAAAGAGTGAGTATGAAAAAGAAGCTGATTTTGCTCATTAAAGGTTTCGACGTGCCAGTGTGATGGTATGTCAGAGGTGGATGGCAAGATCTGTGAGAATACAGGTGCAGACACCTTCCTGCAGATTGACAGAAGCGCGTCCCTGGAACCGCTCCATCATTATCTCTGACTGCTGACTTGACACTTCAAGCTGAGAGCCCAGCGGTGGAGGTTTTTACTGTATTAGGTTGTACACTGTGTCAGATAGTGGCCCAGAAACTTTAACCGTCATAGTCCAGCTCAGCAAGCTCCCTGGCATCATGTCTGGTGGGACTCAGCTCGAGTTGTGTTTGCATTTGCAAAGCTCCATGGAAATGAACAGAGGTGGTGACGATGAGATGAGTTTTGCCTAAGAGCTGAGGACATGGCTTTAGGTTAATATTACACAAGCCTAATAGTTCAGAATTTTTGAATAGTCTTGAATGCAGACTCTGGAGCCTGCTGGACCTGCTTTTTCAGGTGTGTCGTTGAAGGAACTCATTCGCTTTGCAGCTGTAATCATACAGAATTTCCATGTTCCATAGGGACCTGCAGAGTCACAGATCTCACTGAGTACCCAGACTCTACCAAGGACAAAGAGCTTTAGAGCACCAGATTTTTTGAAACCTGCAGGAGCAAGATCTTCAGTGGAATCCTGCAACAGGGAATAAAATTTGACTCTTGTAAAACTTCACCATCTTCGAAGAGAGCATCATCCTGCCTAACGACACAAAACGTACTAGATATCTTTGATGCAATCTTGTGAATTTACAAGGTGTGCAAATAGAGGGACATATTCCCCCAGACACAGTAGGAATCAAGGTGTTTCTTTTTTGTCCAGTTCACAGCATTTCGGTGACAGTATGGTGGAAGGTGCTTTTCTAGACTTTTTCCCAGTTACAGGTGCTTCTGTTTCATCTTTTGATTTGCTGTCACTTGCATAACCCCTGCTCCCCACTGTAATCCATAGAAAAGCATGCATACCCTTGTGATAAGACTGATTACCTCACAAAGCGGTTTTGCTGATATGTTTGAGGTTTCCAAATTGCTTTTCACTAGCCCATGCTTTGGGTGGTTATGGTGCCTGTGGTTTGAGGTCACTATCAGCAGCTACTTTTACAGTTATCAGACTTTGATAATTTATTCTTGAATGTCTTTGTTCAGTGACTTTGTCCAAAGGATTCAGTTGAGCTTTAAGCCAGATTTTAAGAGCTCCATTAATGTCACTCTTTTCCAAATCCAGATATGCAAATTAATGAGGCAAATGCTGATTGCTCTGAAAACCCAGTTGGACATTTTCTATCCCTTCCCCTACATTACCACCAAGAAATATTCTGTGAGAATATCACAAGTGAGACAGCAGTTATCTTAGCAGTGGCTGTTGCAGACTACACCCCGCCTCATAACAGCAGGGTGGCTAGATGTGTAAACTTGCATATGAGGAAACAGAGTAGTCAACAGTCCAGTCACATGTGGAGTGAAAACAGTTCCTGCAAAAAGAGCAGGAGAGAGCTGATGCGGCGCCTCGGACTCTTCACAGGGGCAAACCCATGTCAGTTTATTTTGTTCCTTTTCTACAGATAAGCAGGGTTTGGGGAAGATTTTATTTCCTCTCCCAGAGTTTGTGTATTCAGAGTAGTGTTTCCTAACATAGACTCTGTGCTTATCCTGTGTTCTTTGTCCTTTCTTCTCCAGCATTCCAACATTAATATTTTGGTTCTGTGATTTCCTGATTGTACTGTAGTATTATGCACGGATGCCCCCAGTTAAGCTAATGGCAGGGGCTTTGGACTATTATTATCTTTGTTAATATTGCTATTATTATTTCCCTCAGAAATACAGAGCCCCTAGACAGAACCAGAACCCTACAGCAACAGGTATTTCATACACAAATGCACTGTCTCTAGAACACTATTGATTTACTTGCAAACTAGAAATCTTTAGTATTTCTTTAACCAGAACTCTTCACTGTTTATTTGCTTTGCAGGGGCTTATTGCCACTGTGTTTTCCTTTTGTACATTATCACCCTGGTCTGCTTAAGTCTCCATAGATATCTTTTGTTGGTATTGTCTTTGAGCTTATTTAGGGAGAGGGCCAAATGAGAGAGAACAGAAGTATTCTCTGTATAATACCAAGCACAACATTTGACTGATACTTCGCACCGGGGCTTGTGTGCATGTGGCTGCTGGTCCCTGCAGCCAGCAAACTTCTTATATTTCATTGTCTAACACAGAAACAAACACCAGCTGCAGGAAGTATTGTAATCAAATCCAATACCGTTTGCATTTTGTGAATCATGTTGAGCTTAGAGCAACTCTCCAGTTCCTGTGAACCAAAACACTGGTGAAATTTTGGATCCAGGTGTGAATTCTGTAGCTTAAGCTGACCTGTAGCATTTTAATTACTGGATATTGCTAGGACCTGATGAGTACCTGATGGTTCAAGTGCTGACAGTGATTCATTTCCTGCTTATTGCCAAAAGAAATATGCTTCAACAAAAGGCAGCAAGGGAGGAAGAAAAATAGGAAAGCGCCAGTGCACTTCCATTAAATAAATGGTATTGGACTAAAATATTCTGTCCTGGGAACTGTTTACAAGAATGCATGGTCTGTGAAAACTAAGCTGGAGAATCTCCATTTTGAATCTCTCCAGACCAGAGCAGACTGTGAAAGTCAACAACAAAAAAACCACAAAACCAGTTTTAGCCTGCCCCCCCCAAAAGAATCCACTCTGAGTCTTGTGATTTAGCGCAGAAAGCGCAAAATACATTACAGTGTCTTTAAAAAATAAAGAAGGTATATTCTGATTAAAGGGAATCACGCATTCTGTCACTCCTCTGTTTTTCCAGTGAAGCAGGTTGGATTTATATGTAGTTTTAGAAGAGGGGAAAGGACAGATTCCCTGTCAAACCAGTTTGGCTCAGAGTACAGTCTGGTGTATCTGTACTTTGTACCAACACTGGATGAAGCTGATATAGCTACACTTCCTGTCATCAGTGGACAGAATAGTGTTTTTTCTTCACACACAGATTGCTGCTAAAGGTGTTAATTTATCTTTTGGTCGTTCCCAATTGCTCTTTATACTCTTCTGGATTCACTCTTCTTCCTGGAAAAGCATTCTGAAAGTGCTTATGCAGATCATAGGCAGCTTTTTATATTTTAAGGCTGTAATAATAACAAAATATCTTCAGTATATGATAGCTCATTTGTCCCTTGAAGTCAGACAAAAAGGCTCCATTTACTTCAGGAATCTTTGGCTCAGACTCTTAGCACTGATTTACTAATGTCACACTACCAAGCATCACTTGAGTTTCGTGAAAAACTGCTGAAGACTGTTATTGTGCATGCTCCTTAACTTACTTAAAAGAAGATACACATCATTAAGTCAAGCCTAGCCCGAATTTACTGCTGTGAAAGAATACCTGACAACAATAATGTTGTGTTAAAGCATTTGCATTAAAGGGAGGAATTTTTCAATTATCACAGAGTTCTCATATGCAGACCTGCTATTTTAATAGGACCTTACGTATACCATTTTGAATAAAGCTTACTTAAAGGCTCTGTCAATTAGCATTATCCCCTTTGGACTGGCACTGGTGACTATTTTTGTGATCTTCTTCATTAGAAGAAATATATCTGAGCTATAGCTGTACTTCTAAATATGTTTTTAAGTACTTCTTCCACACATTACTCTTTAGAGGCACTCCCTACGAAATTGAGTTCTGCAGCAGTATTGGGTGTTTGGGTTTTATTCCCTTTGTTAAGCAGTTTCTGTAGAGAGTCTACATCCTGAATCTGACAAAACACTAAAGCGAAAAGCATAAAAGCTTGTGAAGTGTTGGAATGAAGTTTCAGCTGCCTTGAGCTGAACAAAGTTCCTAACAGATGAAAAACATTTTTGTTCACTTGAGATAACTGAAAGGCAGCCAAATGATTACATTCAAACTTTCCAAAGCTTGCAAAGATTTGTTTCAGAGTCAAAGCCAAACATCAGTAACTGCTGCCCAGAAGGGATATTGTTGTTTGGAAAGAGAGAGACAGCTACAACTGATAGCAGTGCTGAGCCTGGAAATTCCATACCACCCTTATCTTCAGCATCATGCTTTTGCAGCACTCTCACGAGCTCCACCGCTGCTGAAGCAGCAATCCAGGAGCAGCAGACCTACCTTTATGTTGGAGTGAACTGCCCCAATAAAAAATGTATCTAATCCCTATATCAAGAAACATGTATTCTAGTAAGGAGGTAGCCTGGGGAAGAGAAAGAAGTTGTCCTTACAAAAAAAGAGTTCCATACAAAAAATATACATATACTGCATAAGAGCCTACAATTAATAATATTTTTATTTGAAACACTGTGTGACCAAAGAAGATGTCTTGCCAGAATTAAACACAGGTTAGCCTTTATCAAATGGCAGTGGATGCTTGGCTACCAACAGAGAATTTGGACCTTCTAATCTTAGCATTTTATTTTTGTGTGTTATGTTGTTAATGAGATTTTTTCTGTTCTTTTAAAAACAGTTGATTTTGGAATCAGAACTAAACTTTCCAAGGAGCTGTCATAAATTTGAAAGAAACAGGTAGCATCTGCAGAAGCAAGTTAACATAGGAAGTGCCTTCAGAACAGTTTAGTATCGGACTGATCCGAGATACAGTTCCAGTATAGCTGTGGAGAATACAAAACTTCATACATGCAATATTCTGGTTTTAACCTTACTTAAAGGACCCAACATGTCTCTGTCCAACTTTCCGCAGGAAGGCTTTCCTGAAGACCAAGTATAATATTCCCTTCTTGACATTTTTAACAGGAGAACGAATTACCATTAGAAAACAGAGCAAAAAGCCACTCCCGCCCTGAAAACAGTGCTTTTTCTGTAGTGCTGCTACTACGTATATGGATTTCACTTACCACCAACCAAAGCGTTCCTTTTCTAAGAGGAGGACTGACGCTTGTAAAGGACTAAGAAGATTCTGGGCATCTGGAGTCTCTCGTCGCTGCCAGCTCTTCAGTTAAATATAGTTGCAGGCAGTCTGTTGTGTATAGGGGGATAAAAAGCAGATGGCTTTCAAATCCCTTGTGAAGTTTCTGTAACTGTCATTTAAAAGAAAACACCTTTGACTTGTGCACCAGGCAAGTCTGAACTAAAACCACAGGGAAAGAGTAAATATGATCCTCCTCGTGCCTTTTTAGAGCCTCTTTTCTGTCCATAACTGCTCTTTAAATGTAAATAAACACTGTTCTCTTAATATGTGAATTTCTGCCCTAAGAACACTCTTAGGGATTGCACAAATATTACCTCAGTGTATATTCAGACTTTATTAAAACAAATTACTGCAGTACAGCTAAGGCCCATTCATTCATTCATAATGGTGTGCAATGTCCTGTGCAATGTCCCTGAGGTATGCCAGAAACAACCACTCTGTTGTAAGCTTACACAATGAGTTATTTAAAATTGATTTATTTTGTTAATATCGTATAATGGATCCCAGGAGGAGATGAAAACAAACAGATCAGAGCTGATTATGCCTCCAGGTTATTCCCTCAGTCAAGGCAGTAACTCTTGGTCTAGAACTCGCAGCTGCAGAAAGATGCTGCTTTGTGCATTGTGTGCTTTTTTCTCTCCCTGCATCCCTTTGAACCTCACAGTATTCTTGTGCCTCAGGTCTTAAACCACCACAGGCCTGAATTGTACAGCTGAGCTGTACCTGGCAGAAGTCCAAAGGGGTCTTGTACACACAGCTATAGTTAGTGTTAAACCACCCGCTTAAACAGCTCCCCTGTTCTTGGGTTCCTCTAGTCTTGGGCCACCCATTGGCACAGGCTAAAACTGTCCAAAGGAAAAATCTCCAATAGCTGGGGATTCCCGGTGGGCAGAGACCACCAGTTTGTTCCCCCTTTTATATTCTGTGTATGGAATACACAAAACATGTGACCTAGAACACAAAGGTCTATACTGGTTTTGGCTCAGCTTGGAGTTTCATGTCAGATGGAAAATTTGGAGCCATGTTCCAATTTGGCTCCCAAGGGGAGTTTTAAGATCTAGCTATATTTCTCTTCCTCTCAAAACCATTGTTTGTGTGCTCATGACTCTCTAATATTAGTTTCTGTTTTCCTGTCATATGCAGGTTTCTGTAGACTTTAATCTGCAGCTCAGTGGTATGACTATACAATAGATTTCTCTTGCCACAGGAGCAGTCATTCCTAACCTTGCTGCTGTGAAGCAGGGAACAAACAGTCCATGAATTATTTTTGCAGGAACACAGCAAGATGTTGGAAACAGGATGGGAGCAATGTGTTGTGTCCTATGCCCACGTACACCCTGAAGTCCTGTGAATGCTCTCAAACAAGATTTATTAATCCAGTTGAATATGGCTCACTAGAGACAGTGGCTAAGAATATCACTTACTGAGTAAGACTGTTACATTAGCTGCCATCACTACTGCCATAGTGACTTCTGGCTGCAGCCACAGATGAAGAACCTACTGTAGTGGGAGCTGCTTTGCACATAAAGCAGTATGTATCATATGTACCGTTCCCCATCCCAGGAGAGCTGTAGATGGACTGTCAGTTCTTTGCTCTAAACCTAAAATTCACACCTTAGAGCTACTTGATTCCTGATCATAATGCAGCCCCAAAAGAGTAAATCCTTGGGATTTTGTTGCATGGCTGTGCTTTACTCTACAAGCCATTTTTCAAATAATCCCAAAGGAGCAGGAGCTGCCTCGCCTTAATGATGATAGGTTTCTGAGAGCCAAATAGCTCCCTATCTAAAAGAAAGCCACAAGATTTTGCTCATATTCCTGGACCCCTGAGTCTTTGGTGAATAACAAGATCTTATTTAAATCCCTTGGCAGCAGTCTAGGAACCTCTCCAATAAAACAGTTACATTAATTCCAAATAAGATGAGCCAGGACAAGGATACATTTCTGATTTCTTAATGCCTAGTTTAACTGTTGCTACTTTAAATGATAAGTTTGGAGTTCAGATTTAGGCTTGATTCAAATCTCTGCGGGCTGAGCTGTCAAGGCCTTGTTGTCCATACATTTCTTGGGTAGCTGTATTAAGCTTATGCACGTTAGACTGGGTAAGGCTAACACAACTTTGACCCTAGAATACACTTACACCTGTGCCTGGCATTTGATATTTCTCTGGGAAGCTGGTAAAAAGAGGCTTTGTTCAACAGTTTTCTTGTCGCTGGGGTTCATTTTATCACAGAGATTGCAAACGTTCTACAGTACTGTCTCTTTAGAAAAGGAGCAAGCTCTAGAAATTACTGCACTCTGCTGTGAGTGTACTGCCTACCATGTATCTGTTTAATCTATTGCCTCCCATGTAAGATTAATACACCGCATTATCACTCCAGGTGTTACCAATAGTGATGGTAGTTTGGGGGACCTGAACCTGTGCCATCAGTTTCCAGCTTCCAGTGAGCCAAGGATGAATGTCACAGTGTGTCCCTCATTAGACAACAGAATGCCCCAGGGTTCCCCTTTTTGCGGGTTTTCTTCTGTCTTCCGTGATGACTCCATTTCTCTCCTATGGCCAGACACCAATATCTCCACTTGATTCAGGAGAATCCTCCAGTGAAAGAACCAAGCTCTCAGTGTGTGAATTGCTAACTTGTAATTATGCCTTGTAAGGGGGGCAAAATATTTTGGATTACATCAGAACTATTTTCTTCTGCATCCTGATATATCTGTGCTTCAGACTTAGAGTTAACTCTCTTTGAGCTGATATGTGTTTCAAATAATTTATTTTAAGTCTGATTCTGCTTTGGAAATGGCAAGCAGTAAACTTGATAGGAGCCTGACTACATGAGAGCTGAAGACACTGAATAAACACTTTTGAATGAGGTATATGCAGAGAAGGCCCAGACAGCATCTGCACAATTAGAAGCTGTTGGGAATCTGCATAGTCTGAGATCTGCTGAGCCCTAGTTAGAGCCTTCCAGTTTGGTTTAGGGATGATCTTCCTTGCATGGGTACAGGGGCCCTGATGCACTAATGCTGTCACAAGCTCCCAGTGCAGATGTGTCATGCTGTGTGGACAATGGCTTCATTCTTAGGGCCCTGCCTATTACAAGGTGTGGTTTTTTTCATTTCTTATTGATGGGTATAAAACTCACTGTGTTGTTTAATTTGCAAGTTCCTTTTGAACAAAAGGAACAAAGGTACAAAAGGAATGAGGTAAAAAGGATTGAAAGTATACATTCTTCCACACCATGACTATTTTGACTATTCAGATTGTAAACTCTACAAGCAAGAGGCTTTTCTCCATGATTTTCACCAGGATCTCCAAATTTCTCAGTATTGCAGTTAAATAATAGCAATCTTACCTGCATACATTTAGAAGTGCATACAATATTTAGAAATACATACATAACACAAATCTATTTTGTAAACATCAACTTAGGATTCTGCTTTTTTATTCAGAGCTTTTTACCGAGGCAATCCTTTGGTAAAGTTTGAAAGTATATGGAATTTCCAATAACAGACAAACCTCAGAAAGATAACAGAGCAGGGACAGGCACAGAAAAAATGGGCTAATAATGAAGTTTATAAGTGGAGTATAGGTCAGATTTCAAAAGCAAATGGAATAAACTTAAGCAAAACAGCATGTATTCCAAATTGGAATCAGTTATAATATTATGAGAAATCTGTGTACCTCCTATTGTAAATATTTATACTTTTGAATTTCTTCAGTAAACTGCCAGATATGATTCCCTAAAGAACTTTATTTACTTGTTTTAGGTTTTAGCCAATTTGCCTTTCAATTTTCCTGTGAGATCAAATTCTCACATTAACTGAGACATGGGGTTCTTGTATTGCAGTTTAAGGGGAAATACACCCTGTATACACATTACAGCATCATCTATTAACACATAGCAGACTTAATGACTAAAATTTGACTCTTAGTAGAGGATTAAAATTTGGGTATGATGCCAGAAAAAGTGTCATAAACCTCCCTGGAATTGAAATCCACTACTTGCCCTCACATAAGTAACTTCTGCACTGCCTTCTCTATCCTAAATTGCTGCCTGTACCTCAACACTTCAAAGGGAGAACATCATGCACCCAAAGGTCAGGGGATTATTAGTGCAGAAATTACTCAAATTTCTATATGACTTCCTGTTCTGTCCCAACGTACCTGTGAACATGAAATTCCTGACAATAGGCAGTCTATTGATCTGTCTTGTTCAAGCTGACGGGACAGACCCTGAATTCTGTCCTATCAAACTACCTGATTTACTGTGTATCTGTAACTAGTTCTTGTCCCATCTCTCATGCCTTAAATTCCATCTTCTGCCTACTTGCCCTGCTCCACAGTAGGAATACAGTGAGACTTACATACCTTTGATTTAGCTGCCTTGAAGCCTACCCAAGGAAAGTCCTTATAACAACGTAGGTTGTTATTTTTGCTTTGAGCTTTTAAATGGAAAACACAGTATTAACTTAAATGGCAAAAGATTTAGCATTTGTTTCTACAGGATGTTGCAACGGAAATGGAAACTATCAGTGAAGAGCATATCAGCTCACAGAGTTAGTAACTTAAAGTGAGCTTCCTCAGCGCATTCCTGTACCTCACACCCTTTTCGAAAATCTTCACTTTGATCCAGGAAGGTGTAACTGGGCATTATTGTATTACTGTAATATAAGTATTGATTACACTGCCACAATTGCATGTGCTTTTCAACATCACTGATAAAATCCTGGTCTATCATGTTTGGCATGTCTGTTTAAATTGTAATTTCTTTAGGTTAAGGACTGTCTACAACTCCCTGTTTGCATAGCAATTACTAAGTACTTGTCCATCGCGATTAGTCCTTAGACATTACAGTAATAAACAAGGGTAATAAGAAAGCAGTTAGGAACCTTCAGTCACCTCAGATCTGAGCCAGCAGCATAAAGGCAGGGCCATTATTCCTTGTGCCATTCTTTCAGTCTTTCGAAGGCAAGTTCTTGAACAGCACAAGTCATTTTTCCCTTCTCCCCCCCAGCAATCCTCACCCCCTTTTGTCTTTATGTACTTGAAAAGCAGGTAAGACAACAACCTCAAAAGCCCTTGGGAAAACCTTGTCTCCTGAGCCCCTCCAGGTCCTGACAGCAACACAAGAATAGAAAATGAAAAAAATAAAAAAAAAAGAGTTTCTAGTTTGGCAAAACAGTTTAGATCAAAACAGCGGCAATTGGAAAGGTTGCATTTGGTGTACTGTCCTGCAGAGGTAAGGACCGGACAGTGGCTCTTTATGATTTCACTGCCCTCTGTGTAGGCTGCCAAAGTAAGCATGTTTTGGATGAAAGTCTGAAACAGGGAAAGAAAATTGCTGTCAAAAAATGTTTTGGTGTCCACCTCCACACCAACAGCTTTCTTTTAATCTTTAGCCAGGGGCATGAGAAATACAATCCTCCTACATTACAAGCAATCAAGCGAGCATATGTTGGACTCTATATGACTTGAGATTTGCCCCCTTTATGGGATGAATAAGGTTCATGGAATCTAGTTATAAGCCGAAAGTCACCATGGAAATTTTTACAAACTTTCTCTCCTCCTTTACCCCCAGAGTTTACTTGGTCCTTTCTAGATTTGTTTTTGCTTTTTTTTTTTTTCATGATATGTGAGGAGTAAAGCAAGGAGGACACATCTGTACCCGGTATAACATCTAAGAACTCTTCCAAGTTATCCTTCTGCATTTTGGTTTCTTTCACTGTCATGTGGTCATCTAAGTGATGTTGTGTGTCCTCTTGTATGGCTACAGATATAAACTGAAAAGGAAAAAAATGTTTACTTTCAGCTGGTGCAACAGAGCTTGAAATGGTTACAGAGAGATGACAGACAACCAAAGTCTCAACACCGTGCATCGTTTTTGCAGGTTTTTTTGTTTTTTTTTTTTAATTCAATCCACCCTCCCCCCCCCCCCCACATACACGTGGCAGTGTTTGTAGATTTTCAGCCTTGGGAGTGTTAGCAGCTGCTTCTTGTGTAACCTTTCTGCTTTAAGGCATGAGCTCATCAGCTTATACAGCTAAACCACTGCTGAGCACTGGTCAGTGTGAAGCGAGGAGACCATGAGAAAACAAACACGCAAACAAAACCCACAGTGTCCTGTGGAAAGTATTTCCTAATAAAAAGACAAAAGACAGTGATTCATTTACTGTTAAGTGACATCTTAAATCAAATACCAAATGACATTCTTTTTTTCCCTTAAAAACTCAGTATTATTCTCTGTAAGGATGTTATACACCCTTCTGTGACGTGGTGTGAATATGAGGGATGAAGGACAGCTTGCCCATCTCAACTAATTTTGGCAGTTTCAGTTTGATGTTATATTTTCACTTTATATTCTGTAACTCTTCAATAAGTTTGCAGTTTTCACAGCTTTCTGTGTTCAGGCTCTCAAAGGTGGCTGCGCTTTGATGATAAAGCTAATGCTTAGATTTTTACACAGTATCTATCATAAGTAGAAGACCATGCACCTTCCAGAGTAGGTCAGTATCATTTTTTTATCATGATTTTTCCTTACTCTTGCAGTTGATATGTCCTGATTTTTGAATAGGCAAAATGTAGTCCTTGGTGATTGCAGATCACTGCATCCTTATGTCCCTTCATATTTTTGTCTATTTAAAATATTGATGATATTTCAGAAGGGGTAATTAAGTTAAATTTCTAAGTGATGGTGAAGCGCCATTAAGATCTTTGGGTAGGAAGTGCTTACTGACAGTCACAACAATATTATTGTTCTGCTACAGTGTTCTGGACTGCTCTTGAAATACTGATACCAAGCCCAGAGAGCCATGACTCACTGGTTGCATCAACCTCAATGGATCAACGAGGTAAAGAGAGCTGGTTTTAAAAAGGTCACTTTTCATCAGCTTCCATGCTGCTCTGCTGTGGCACGGGCAGCTCCTACATTTGCAGCACCCTTTTGGTTTTTATATTCCCTACATCAGATTCCACCTTGATAGCAGACTTGTAATGTACCGAGTTGCTTTCCTGCAATGTGGGTCCTGGAAAAATGCAGCTGCACTGCACTGCAGCCAGTGGTAAACACTCCCAAAAAACATGTTCCTGTAGTCATTCATCCATAAGCCACCATCATATAACCTCTGCTAAGGTTCCTACTGCAGATCTATGCTGGTCCTACTAGCACCGTCTCCAGACCCTTGCAATGTGTCTGTAATGTGACTTGATACAGAAGCCTCATTTTGGCGGTGTTCAACATTTTCATCAGCATTTCAGTATTGAGAGGTCCAAGTGCTTACAGCGAGAAAGAAAAGAAGAAATGGGTGTGCTGAACTGAGGATGGGAAGTGATTACTCACCAGAAATGTGAAAGGGATTAAGGCATGTGACCATGATGGGATGAAAGCTTTTAAGAAGTATTTGGTGCTTGATTTTCCCTGTGAGACAGCCATAAAGGTACAGGGGAAGGGGTAAAGGGCTGGTGAAATAAATGCTCCTGACAGGTGTGAATGCCTCTGTTTTGCTGTTATCAGAAATTCTTGGCCATGTTTCACTGGGTTTTCTCAAGAGAGAAAGGCCCTGCTTAGCAGAGTGGTAATACATTTAAAAGGCAGGGCCAGTGTCAACTCTCCTTAGTTTACAAGCCCCTCTCCATCTTAGTTCTTCATGGAAGCTTAAAGTGTGGCCGTCCATGCTTTCTACACTGTGCTTTCCTCCAGATTTTAATCACTTTTACCCATTAGGCTTGTATTCAATGATTTCTCACCCATTTCCTGTTCCTCTCCCCAAAATGAAAGATGGAGATTAAGCTTGATGTAAACTCTTACGTGATGCCAAATGATCCCTTAAAAGGTTCCCACCTTGACAAAAGGTGTGTAATTTTGTGGGTTCTAGGTGATGGGTATAAAAGGGAGAAAAGTAGGAAATTTGGACAAAGCTGACTGCAGAGTTTATTTTGTCTAGAATATAAGGACCAGTTTTCTAAACAGAGTACCAACCAAAGCAGATGGTATCCTGCTCTGCTGCTATCCGTACTGAGGCCAGGGGTCTGTGGAAGTGAGGGGATGGCCTTTAATGAAGGTGTAGGACATCTCCTAAGGTTTTTACTGCAGATCTGTAGATTTGATCCTAACAGCACCAGGATTAAGTAGCCCAGACATCCCTGTCCATTGCTGCCTCTCTGCTGGGATCTCACACACACCTGCTTCTCGTCTTAAAACAGCAGCTGAGGAGGTAAGGGGACAGTGGGGGCTGCAGGAGGGAATTAGCTGCTCTGTGGGACCCCAGGTAGTAGATAGATTTTGATTCCTATAAAAAGAGGGAAGAATGATCCCTCACACTGAGAAGGCAGAGTGCTGAAAAAGGAGAGGAACTCCTGTCTAACCGCAGTCCTTTGAGTTCTCATTCACTCCCTCATCTTCTTCCCAATTTGCCTTTTACTACACCAGCCCTAGATATCCTACTGACTTTTCCCTATGCTCTTCTTCATATCCTCAGAACCAGCTTAATGTTGCACATTTGAGTGTTGTGTATACCACAGAGATATCCCTAACAGTTTCTGAATGAGCTTCTTGGTGAGTAGTGTGTTGGTTTTGTTGATTTTCCTTAGAATTGCATTACTGCTCGATGGTGTCATGCATGGAAAACTGCCTTTTTTTTTGTGAGAACATCCTGTCACAAATGGAGTTCCACATGTAAGAAAGTGAGTCACTAGAATCCCAAATCTAATAAGAAAGTGTGTGGAGAACTGATGCTTCTCCTCTGGCAGTGTTTTTCATAGGGTGAGATGAAACTGTCATCTAGTGGTCATAACAGGTGTTCCTGACCTACCATTTTCATTTGGATTAGCTGGAATGTTTCTTATGGATGTATTGCCTAAAAATGCTGACCTAAATACATATACACTTCTTAATATTTCTTTTAATAAATGTTGTTTTCCCTAAAAAAAAAAACAAAACATTTCTTTAGCATTCCCTTGCCAATGCACTTATACTCTAGATTTGCATGAGGAAATTATTTTTTCATGAGGAAGTCCTTTCTACATCTAGAGCTAGGTGACTATGTCAATGCTCATGTGAAAGTCATCCAGCTCTAATTTCTGTTGCCAATAAGATGAAAGTAGAAGCTACTGTAGTCATTTTAATTCACAATTGGAAGTAAGCTGGGCAGAACTACAGAGCAGTTACACGCTGAACCAGAAGGGTTCAGTGGACAGCTACAGTGCACAGCAGGATAAGTAGTAAACTACAAATATGAGTAGGTGATACTGGCAGGAGAATGTAGTTGTAACTCCTAAAACTTACTGGGATGCAGAGACAGGGTAATATCTGAAACACCACTTTTAATGGATTCTGTTGTTAGGAAAGCATTTGAAGCAGGTAAGTGATGATACAATGACCTTTCTGCTACAATTTGCAATCTGACGAAATCTTACATGTTGCTGTAATGAGTGATGAAGGGCTTGACTTTGTTCCCATGAAATAATTTCTGGTGAAGAAGGCCCAAGAACTGATGTTTGTACAGAAGCTAAGTTCACTCTCAGGATTTGCAATGAATGCATTTTTTAGCACTGCCGGTGCCATCTTAGTCTGGAGAAGGCCTGTTGCACTTCAATGAGCAGCTGCTCTGCGGATGGACAATAGCACAGAACCTGCTGTCTTGATGTGAGCTTGGTGCTCGGGACTCTATAGTCATAAGATAATCATGTTTACAACTGCCCAATTAGAGCTGGAATGGCATCTGCAAATTGTCAAGAGACTGGAATGCGTGTCTGAAGATAAAATATATCAGCAAAGGTGGGAGACACAAATTTAACAAAATTAAATGTTTCAGCAAGAGATAGCACTGGTAGATGTGGTTAAAGACAAAACCTTTCTTTATGGGAGGAGCTAAAAAGCTGCAGACTTTCTTCCTGTGACTTTGCAACATGCTGGGGAATTTATAGGGCAGACTTGCCTGACTGCTAAGAGACAGTCAACACAGCACTTTTGTGTGGAGGGTGACTGCAGTACAATAGCAGCACGTTGCAAAGAGAAGTAGCAAGTACACTGATAGAGAAAGAAAAGTGCAGGAAGGGACTTTCTCCTCTAGACCTTCTGTACTGCTAGGCACAAAGAACTTATAGTATATGTGTGTATACATAAGACTCAACTCATATTTATCCCAGTCACAAACCAAAATCTTGTTTTCTGCCCATAGCAGGCCTGAATGTGGAACAAATTAGAGGACAGGAAATAATCAACCAGTTAGCAAGTTAGCAACATCCAGCTCTGAAACACCTGATCTAGCACAAGGTAATAGGTCTGCAAAGGAGTATAAAACGCTACACCTACACGGCAGGTTAGGAGATAGTATGCTTCTGTAAATGTAACATATTACATATAAACTATCAAGAATCTACTTTCAAGAGCTGCTGTCTCATAGGATGAACCCCACTTTATGGTCACTGAACAACATAAATGACTTTCTAGTCACAGAAAAAAGTCTAAGAACTGATGGCACTCTGGTTTTGGGTGGGAGAAAGGACATTGGACGCTGTTACACCTATTTTAAGTGGTGAATTTTAGGGGATTATGACTAAGTTGACTGACTCTCTTCCTTGGTAAGTCACTGGAAACTGAGGTTCCTTTAAACTTGTTTGTAGTTGATTGATATTCATCTTTGATCCCTTCTATTCTAACATGACATACAGAAATGGCGAAAAGCAATACTTGCATGCTGAGAGCACCTGGACAAAAGTTGCTAGAGTGAGAATAAATAACCAGTATGTATCAGTTTACATGAGTAATACATTTAGGAACTGCAATTAATTTAGAAGTCTGTTTTCCAAGCACTCAGTTATAGTTCTTGGGAGGGTGTCTCAAAAGAAAGCTCTAGCAATGTGTGGCAAAGACTCTTCTACTGTCTAGAGGAAAAATCTGTTTCTTCTGATCCTACTATCAGATCAAATACCTGGTCAGTCTTTTAAAATACTCAAATAAGAGGTAGTAAACAGAGAATTACAAATGGATTTCTTTACTTTTACAATAACGCCTGTTTAGACTTTAGCTAGTAATGCAACAATCCAAAAAGTTTAAGAACTGGTAGTATATAGAGAACAATTTATTTGACTTACTCCCAAATGATATTTTTGGAATGTGAGAAGTCACCTCAATGTGAGACACATTAAGATACATGAACTAATTTACATACAAAAAAGTGAACTTGCAAATATATTCAAAAGATGATCAATAAAACACCTAGAAATATGAATTAAAAGAAACTTCAATTGTGGTAGCTAAAATAAATATGACTAGAATTAGTAAGCATTTTATCTTTTTCTACATTATTGCACAGTTATAGCAGATATCTTTGAACCCATCTTAGTTTATGAAATATTTGATGTTTGTTTCTGTTAAAAAACAGATTTGAGTTACCGGATTTGAGTAACATAATTATTTTACAGTATCTTAATGCCAATACCCTTACAGAAGAGAGCAATACCATATCGTGAGAGAATCTTATGGAAAAATAATCATAACAACAACTTGCGATACAGAATGAACACATTTAGTGGAAATACCGAATATGAACCTAACAAGTAAATTAATGATGCTAGTGAATTCTCTTTCTTAGTGGATGACTTTCTAAATTCATCACTCCTTTCCATTTTCAGAACTGGGGGAATTAAAAATCTTCCCTACCAATATCTTCCACCATTTGAGCTATTCTGTGATGATCAGTACCCAGGCCACTGTGTTAGTAATTCATGAACTAAAAAGAAGTGGCTGTTGATCGGAGACTGTTTCATTTTAGTTCAGGCATAACACTACTCCAGTCTCTCAAATGTCTGCAACATAGTGTCAAGTGCATCAAAGTAATGCCTAGAAGTGACTGGTAAACCTAGGATCTCCAAGGCAAGAACAGCAAAGGGAGGATGACAACAGATTTTCCAGGAAAAATCATGGCATGGAGTCGGTCACATTTTCCCAAGGAGTAACAGGAAACCTGTTTCCTTTCCTGAGCAGGGAAAAAGAACTATACAGACCCCTCAGCAAGCACGGGTGTCTGAACAGACCTAGCGAGCTATGCTGCCCCAAAACCCAAAGAAATCCTCTGAGAAGTTTCTTTCTATAACCGGTCTTTTATAAAGTGTCTCTCTCCCTTTCCAGTGTTGGTGAATCATTCATGTTGCTGGCGACAGTCCTTGTGGCAGATTCTTCCCCACTGTCAGATCAGACACTGAGTTGTAAATTACGTTTTCCTTCTGCACATAAATAGTATAAGGTTCCACTTCCATTGTGTCATCCTAGCAAAACAAAACCAAAAACTGTAAATAGTTTGGCAATACCCTGCATGCCTTTTTTCTGGACTGAAGAATTTAAGTGGGAAATAGCGCTCCCATATTTATTCCTCTTGGCCTCAAGAAAACAAAACACCTCTATTGCTTTTTCTACCGAAGAACATGTATTGCTGTTTCTGTCAAAGATTTGGAGGGTAAAGATGAGGTATTGGTTCACTTGCCTCCTTTTCCTCCCCTTCTACCTCACTTTGGTCTGAAGAAAAAAATGTATTAGAGTGTAATTCTCTAGAAAAAACAAACAGTATGCTAGAGTCTTGACAGTGACTCTATCAGCCTACAATTTCAGACTACAAACGTGCTAATGAAAGTTGCATGACATAACAGCAGGAACACTGGGACTTAACCATTATTTTATATTAATGCAACTGCACCTGTCAGCAACAGCTGGGAGGCAAGGCAGCAGAACAAGAAGAATAAGAATAACAACTAGAATTGACTAAGTCTTTTCAGAAACCAGAACTGAAGCACCTTTTTAAGTTGATGACAGAATGTGAGCCTAGTGTGTACAGTAGATGCACAGATACTCACAATATAGTCTTGACACATCTTGCCTGCATAGAAATGCTGTTATTTATATTTGGCAGTAGAGAGCAGACAATTCTCTTTCTCTTCATCAGGGACTGTAGTGATAGGACAAGGGGTAATGGGTTCAAACTTAAACGGGGGTATTTAGGTTAGATGTAAGGAAGAAGTTATTTACTGTGAGGGTGGTGAGGCACTCAAGTTGCCCAGAGATGCTGTGGCTGCTCCATCCCTGGTAGTGTTCAAGGCCAGGTTGGAAGGGGCTTAGAGCAACCTGTCCACTGTTTGGTCCAGTGAAAAGAGTCCCTACTCATGGCAGGAGGCTTGGAACTGGATGGACCTTTAAGGTCCCTTCCAACTGAAACCATTCTAGGATTCTATGAGCAGAGACACAGAGCTGATGATTGAATTGCTCAGCTACACAGGAAAACTGTAAGAGCATAGAGAGTTCAAGAATACCTCCCAGCTGGCAGCTCAGCAATCTTTCCATTGTTTTATAAAATGTTTTGTCTTGAGTATGGTTTGTTCTTTGGTTGTGGAAAGACCATACAAGGTAGAGAGTGGCCCTCAAAATTTGCGCATTATCATTCTGGAAACCAAGAGGGATATTCTTTTTTTTTTCTTTCTTTTTTTTTTTCTTTTTTTCCCCTGTGTCTGTTAGTTTTGTTGGTTCATCCTCTCTTTTACTAATAGCTTTCTTAATATTCCACAACCCATGATACTGCCTCACTTCCTGAGTACAGCAGTTGTGGTCAGTGTATCTCATATGACCAGGGAGACCCCGGTGGTGGGATTCACTCCTTGTTAAGATAAAGTATGGCAGTTGCTGAGGAACATGCTTCTAATGTTTGCTCAAAGTCGAAATTATGGTGATGATAACCTTTGTTTTATCCTGAGATACAGCTAAAAGCTGTATCTGAGATGCAGTAGCACCCGCTGAATGAAGATTAACAATCAAATGGTTTCCTTTTACTGACCATGTTTTCAGGGCTACCAGAAGATCCATGATTCGTTGATGGTCTAATTTGTATTGTCCTCCTTAACTGTGGTGTTTGCCTGTTTTGGGCAGTTTCAGAAGGTTTGGTTTTGTAGCATGGTCTGTGGAAAAGAAAGAAAGGATTAAATCAAATTCCCTCCTAAATCCTAGGTTGGGCTGGATTACAGACTGGTTTCTTTGATGACAAGCTTATGAAACATTTCTTTTTCCTGTCATCAAGAGTAAAACAAAAAAGTCTTCTCATGTATCTCTCTCCTTGACTTTTGATCCTGGTATTATGGCACCCTGACTTTCTTTAGAGGTCTTTTTCTCATGTTTGTGTGTTTGTGGGAGCTTAAGCACAAAGTAGAAGCAGAAGATTTAAAACCAAAGTCTTCTGGAAGTTTGTACAATTTGCAGTTAGAATGGATTGAACTAATTCTTCACCTTGAAGGAGAAGGTTTGGGAGAAAAAACAGGTTTGGAATAGGGGAAAGAGGGAGTGTAGCTGAGGTTTTCAGTACAGGTGCTAATTCAGCCTTTCTCTGCAAAAATGTAGTTTTTCCTTGGAACTGCTCCTTCCTCCATAGCAAATCCTAATGGGGCTGGAGTTCAGGTTCAGCCAGGGAGCTTTTCCGCAAACACAGATAGAGTCTGCTGCCCCCTCTGCTGATACGGCAGGATAGCACTGGTCAGTCCTCTGGCACTTGGTAGAAATTAACAGGCAGGAGAACCAAACCCCTGATCTAAACAGGAGAGACACTGACAGACTGTCACAGTATTTGAAGAAAAACTGTACTCTCCCAGTTTCCTATTAGAATGAAGTCCCCCTTATTCTAGCAGGCAATGAAATGAGGATCCTCTGCCAGCTTCTGCCTCTTTATATTTTCCTCAGGTGCACCATTCAGTGAAGATGTTTGCAGCGGACAGTGCTTGCAATACAGAAATATTTGATATAGTTAATTCAGTTATTTATAGCAGACCAACAGAATCGTATGATTTCAAGACACAGACAATACTTAAAGATTTCTTCTAGCACTAGACAATCTTTCCTTACCTCCCTATCATACGTACCTGTTGCCACGGAGCTTAAAATAGTAAATGACAGCCATGAAGGTTAAAACACTCAGGAAACAAAGAAAAATGGAGGCATGCAGGATAAAGCTGGTCTCTAAACACAAAAAAGTTAGTTATATCTTCTCACTGCTCAGTTTATTATTTCAGTATAAGATTAAAACTTATTAGCATATACACACATTTTCAGCATGCCTGTAAGATAAATATAATCCCCTTCAGCAGAAGGGAAAGTCAGTAATGAAACTTGTCTCAGAAACACAAAGGGAGTTTCTGTCAAAACCCAAAGCAGATCCCACGAATCCCCCCCAGTGCACACTTGGGATGTTTTTTTCACTAAGCCACACCTGAGCTCCTCTCAAGGACTCAGCATATCCCAGTGCTGCAACTTGTTTAGTTCTCAAAAGCAGAAAAAAAAAAGCAAAAATCAGAAAGAAATGTCATCCAGTGTCAGGCAGTCCCAACTTGGAATGAAGTGATTTATTTGTTTCATCTGGCCACATAAGAGCTGGTTCTCTTTCTCTCTCTTACCATGCCCTGAGCAAGAGACTTTACATTTGCATCTAAAAAATGTTGCTGATGTTCAGCTTCCAAGTGATTACTTTAACAGTAAGCTCATGACTGCTTTTTTTGTGATTCCAACATTTCCACTGCAAAACAAATACTACCATACTCACGTATATCCCTCTTAGGGAAGAAACCGTTAGGATATAGTGTCTGGAACACAAACAAGTTGGTGATGTTTCTGGGCAAAGGCAGTTAGGGATGGTGCTCTTGTCTATATAGGAATTCACTAAAGGTTTCTATAGTCCTATAGATTTTCCTTCCTAGAAGGAACAAGAGTGTGCACAGGAGGCTAAACAAGGTTTGAATGCTGAATGCACAAAGGGAAGCTCACCTGAGGGACGACAGGCTATGGAGTTGCTCTGGTTCCCAGCTGGGTGGGACATGAAGCAGGTTGCGTTAGTCACATTGCTGCCATGTGCTGTGAACTTGCTGACCACAGTCACTGTCCCGTTGTCATGGCCTTCTTCCCTGGGGGTAAAGCTGCTCTCCAGGACCCAGGAGATCCGAGCAGCTGGCCTCCCTGCCACTGCCTCGCACACAGGGCTCCCATGGTTATCGCAGTACAGGGTCAGCGTGGGGGGGACTGCAAAGCATCAGGAAGGGGAGATGCATAGAGTTAGTTTGCTGCAGCTGGGATAGGATGTTCTTGTTCTCTACCCAAAATGAACAGGGGGAAAAGAGAAGGACATTGGAGGTGCCATTTCATTACAGCAACATGGGCCAAAGACACAAGAGACAAAGTTTGTGCCTCTTTTTCCCTTTTGGGCAGCTCTTGCCCATTCAGGTGGGTTACCACAGCCATGCACCATTAGAGGAGGTATCCCTGGACACTGTGGTAGGGAATTATGCCAACTGCAGGGCTGAATTAGACTTTCATCCTAAGCAGCCATTGTACACATGGTTTAAAATGTATCTGAATGTATCTGAACGCAGATGAAGAAATGGGTCTGTTTGTACTGTCTAGATAAGAACATCCCTTTGATAGAGCAGCTCAGCACTTGGAATTGTTACTCTCATATGCTTTAGTTCTCTTAAGTTAGTGCATTAAGGATTGATTGCACAGGGTAACAGGAAGTATATGCAGAATGCTCTTTTAGTGTATTGGAAATTGCTTCATGCCTATCATTTCTAACTAGGCAGTGGAAAAACAGGAAGCAGAAGGGAGAAGAGTTTTGGGACATAAGAGTGACACAGCATTACAATCAGTGAAACGCATGACAGATTATCCCAGCAAGAAGACACCTCTTCTTACAGCACACTTCCCCTGGTGCATGGCGAGAAGAGGTTTGTACATCCAGGCCCACACCTGGTCCTCCGGAGATCTGTAAAATGAGGAAGGAGCTCCTTACCCAGCACGGTCAGGTGGTGTGTCTCATGGAAATTCCCTTCTGTTGATACTACTTCACAGATGTAATTTCCCTCGTGGGCTATTCCCACTTGTTGTATCTCAAGGGCAGGGTCCTGATCTGGTCTGAACTTCCAGTTCATGCTGTCGCTGCAATTGGTTCTGTCTGTCTTGTTCTGATCGCTCCTGTATCCCAAGGTGCAGGGGCCTCCAACCCTGGGGCTGATTTTCCATGTTACCATAGTTCTATTTGATTTGGTAGGGCAGGTGAGCACAGAGCTGTGACCTACCGTCACTGACACTCTTTTGTTCCCTGAAGGAGAGAAAGGAGGAGAAGGACGTGTGAGAAGGTGCCCAGGGATGTCACTCATAGCCCTGGAGTTCTGGTCTATGCTTCACAGGGAAGTGTCACGCCGGTGTGAGGCCCTGTCTGCACTCATGGGCAAGTTGTCTGCCATCTCATAATACAGCTGCGGATTATGGAGCCAGTGGCCTAGCACAGCCAGCCCTCTCAACACTATCAACTGATTTGCCACTGAGGCTCGTGTTAGGGGATAAGACAGGCAGTGGAGGAAGACCCTGCTTCTGCCCATTGTCTTAAGCAGCTCAGCACCTGAATAGTGTGCCTCTGTTGGCAAATCCTCCATTGGCTGTCACCACTTACAGGCTGAAATTACAGAAATGTAACTATTGCATTTGGCCACATGATAATGACTTTTCTGGGGAACTGTTGCACCAGTGAAGTAAGCAACTTTTACTTCTGCATTCATACAAAATCCAGCACTGCTGGCAGAGGCCTGCACCTCCCAAATACGACCACAGTATAAATAACAATGATGGAGCTTGTGGGGGAGGAAAGGTTTTTGTCTTATGTGTCAGGGGTGTCTTTTTATTTTTTGAATCTTTGTGAACATATACATTCACACTATGACTGCATACAATGTGTACCTATGCATTCACACCATGACTGTACTGGTTTTACTGCAGCAGTCCCCACGGGACATGAATGTAAGTCCCACCCATCTTTGTGCCAGATATGCAGCTGTGAACATGTGAAATATCCCATATCCCTGTGCCTCTTGCTAGTGAGGCTAAGATTGCAGAGAAGCTTTACTCCATTGATATACCAATTGTGTGGACTCTCTAGCAGTGAGCATGTCTTATTCTTGAATTCTGTTTTGCATTGGCTTGGAAACATTTTTTATTTTATTATTTTTTCTTTCTATGACACTGACTCTTCTTTTAGCTTGTAAAAGATAACTCTTGCTTGAAGTCAGGCACAATACCTCCTGTCCTTATCTTTTCATGATCCATGAGCTATATACTTGAAGCCAACTGTCTGTGTAGAAAAGCTTGAACCTAGTCCTTTTCTCCTTTTTGAAAGTTATCACACTGGCCACTGAAAGAGCTGGCCCACTATTATGGCCCATCTGTGTGCTCTGTTTGTTCAAGACAAGTTACACCCATGGGATTGCCTTTAGTTTATTTATTTGTTTTGGTTTTTTCTTATGGGTCCCCCAATTTCTTAGCCGAGAAACTAATCTGCCTGGGTTTTCTTTTTCCATGAACTTGCAGAACTGATTCTCTTTTGCACATATTGGACATGAGTCATGCTTGCTCTTTTTATATTGACCAGATTTGGGATCCCCTTGGGTGAAGACATTTCCAAATCTAGACCTTGCTCATGCAGGCAGATATGTAGCTGCAATATTGCTCCACACTACACCATACAGTGCTGTAATGTATTAGTTACTCCAGCTGTGTAACGTGTGTATCAGAGTGTAATTCTGAGAAGGTTGTTTGTTTTGTTGGTTTGTTTTTTGTGTTGGTTTTGTTTTTTTTTTCTGGTAGAAAAGGAAAATTAGGTGGGGATAAGATTTCACTGAAGCATCCACTTCCCTTTTTTATTAAATAAAGGAAATAATACTTAGCTTCCTGCTTCTCAATACTGCCAGGATTCATTGATTAATGTTCCCAAGCACAGCTGAAGAAGAAAAGTCTATCTATTCACACCATTTTCTGATACATGAATTACCCACCAGCGCCACAAATGCTCTTTCCTTAATTCAATTGCCAACAGTGTTCTGTGATGCAGTATCACACTGGAAATGTTTCTAAATCATGAGGTTTTTCTACTTAATGGCATTTCAAGGTAACACAAGGTATGCATTTTAAACTCAGATGATTTTACCAGGAGAGGAACTGAAAGAAGCCTTTTGTTTCATGATGGTTTCTGGATGTGAGTCCTATGATTATCTCTGAAAAATGGAGAATAAAGTGTTTCCTCTCCTAGTTTAACAGTGCTGAGAGTCTCAGAGCACTGAGTTATGTCACCAGTATGGCTGACCTCATCTGAAAATGACTAAGCATTCAAACAGCCTGTATGTTGGGGCTGGGGTTTTTGGATAATGTTTGCAAATGCTGCTCATGAGTGACAATGTTCTGCGTATTTAACTGTGTGCACTTTCATTTACATATTAAAGCAGTACCATTTTACTCATCTTTCAACTCTGCATCTCCTAAGCCACAATGTACAAGTTCCCCAACATAACAGCCTGAGTGCTTCAAGACTGTAAAGAAAGAGGGAGCAAAGGCAGTGCTTCCTGCTATGACTTTCTGTCATATTCTCCCCTGAATGAATCAAGTACAATTCACTTCAAATGATAAGCCACATCAGTCAGCTTAAAATCTGCTGAATCATGTTTAAATGCAATATTAAGTTTACAATAAAGTTGTAGAGGGATTCTGAATGTTTGAAAATGGATATATCCTCTCTCAGAAAAAAAAACAACTCAGTTGAGGAGTTCATATTTTTGATTCAGAAATGTGCTGGTTACTGTTGTCATGTTAAAATCACTGTAATTGAAAAGGCTGTGAGAAAGACTTTTCTCTGCCCTTTGTGTTCGACAGCTCTTGTAGATAACTATTTGTATGAGTTCCTTTGCAGTGTCACTTATTCAGTGTTTTTTTCTGCTTCTCAGAGTCCTTCTCACAGTAAAAGGAGAAAGAAAGATTTTAGAAACAGGAAAATTTGATTGTGAAGCCCCTACAATTTTCAAGGGGGAATCACTGCAAAATCAGATACAGTTATGCAGCTTAAAGGGCTTTTGATTCCTTTCAAGTAGGAAAGATTTCCAGTCTCTCTTTGTAGCAGGTTTTAACCCACAGTACAACTTTTTGCTGCCCCCAAAATGACTCAAGTTCCATGACAATCTCTGCAGAAATTTAGCTGTTTTTCACACTGTTTTACTTTCTCAGACATAATCCTATTGTGTCTTTATTTCTTACAGTAAAAGTCTACCACAGTTTTCTGGTACATCTCTCCCCTCCCTCTGGAGATTGTGGCATATTAAACTTAGAGATATAGTGAACTGAAACAATGATCATACCACAAGCAAATGACTAACTGTGTCTTGGAATGAATATATTATATGAGTCATAGCAAGTCATTATCAAAAAGGCAGTACTGGATGCTTGGAAGAGGTCAGATAAATAAGCTGAGCTCTGCATCTGCTTTGCCCTTCCACAGAGTGACTGTTACACTTAGCAAGGCTTGTCTGGAATTAAGTGAAAGATAAACAGATAGAAGTGCTTTGTACTAGGGTGGGGATTGCTAAAGTACTCACAGTTTGCTCATGGTGTCTTTGTGGCTCTGAAAACGTAGCCACAACAGCACAGGACAGAGAAAATAAACCCTGCATGTTAGGTGAGCAGTAAGTAGAGTACTCTAATTTCCATGGTAGAAATACATGAACTAGCTGGTCTGAGCTCATATGACTGTTTCTTGAAGCTATGATCGCAGCTTTTTCAGCATGGTCATATCTTAAAGAGGTTTAGTTTCCTACTCACACTCATCTGCAATCATTATTATTCCTAGAAAATATCTCCTATTCCCATTTCAATGCACTGAAGTAAGGGTCTTTTCTGAGGTTTTATTTCTACCCTCACATAGATGGACTATGTCTCAATGTAAACATGACTTCATAAAAAAGGGATGGGTACAATTCTTCAATGAAGGAATTAGTTGGTGTTTAAATGATGTGTTAGAGTCATCCATCTTGCAGAACAAACACTGTTGGCCAAATCCTCAACTGATAATAAACCACCACTGAATTTAACAAGCTGTCACATATTATATCAGTCTGGCTGTAAACTTCAAACTTTGTATAGCAGCTTCTGTGTGCAAAGTAAGTAGATCTTTGTCCTGGAATGGGTGAGGGGAAAAGAGATTTACACTGGATGTCAAAGTGCCTTGGGTAGTATTTCTTTCAACAGCATTACGACACCATATGTAATGAAGTGCAAAGGCCCCCTATTTCTCAGTATAGAAACAAATTCAGAATGGTTTATATCATTTTATATTTGTCTTGCATGCTGAACTTGGCCTTTTACTCTCTTCCTAATGAGAAGAATAAAAAAACCAAGTTGTAGTGTTTGTGCTTGAGTGGTGTTTTCCTGCTATTCTAAACAAAAATAGATCATTAACTGTAAAAGGTAGGTTGCATGCCCTCTTTTTCATACTTAGCAGAGAGCAGATGAGGAACAGTATGAAAATATGCTTATGATCTCACTTTTATTTGGTTAAAATCTCAGTTATACTTTGCTTAGTGATTAGCTTTTGCACAGTACTTCCTAGCGTTTTCTTACTCAATATGAAGATAGGGCAGCGTAAGAAGATTCTCTACACTTTTTTCTTATGAATGGTTGCATACAAAGCACATCAACTTTGAGTTTTAAGTAGTATGTACTTCTACAAATGCATTACAAATTAAATATGATCTGTTTTGTGGTCATAGAGAATGTGGTCAGCTTCCAAGACTGAACTTCTTTGCTTCCATGGTTATGAAACTAGACACATTCAGACATTGTGTTTGGACCACAGCAAAGTAAAATATTAATGTCAAAAGGACATGCTTTGAAGACTGCACTAGGGCAATTTAGATCTCTCCTGAGAAAAATTTTTGCTTAATTTAATAGTACAGAATTCTGTTTTAAGCATTTGGGGAAGAAAACCAGGCTGTTTGGATTCAGGTGTTTTTAGGGGAAAAGAAATCAGAATGATTCCAGCACATAGACCCAAAGGCACACCAAAGAAATAGTGAAATTAAGACAAATGTAAGTTTGCCAGAATAGGCTTTTAGGCTATGATTTTTTATATTCAGATCAAGATTCCAGTAAACTAGAATAGGTGGCAGGAAAGACAGAAGCACTGAAACACAGTAGACGTGAAAAAATAGAAGGCAATAAACCACTAGTACACTAGTGAAAGAGAATTTACAACTTGTGTTAAGGGAAGAAATGAAATGAAAGTAGTAACATTCAAGAAAGTTATGTATGTAGGTAAACTTGAACACTATTCAGGTAGCTCTGCAACTCTGCTTCTATTCACCTCATACACTCTAATTCCAGCACTGATGCAATGCCACTGACTTCAGTTTTTTACTATTGATAAAAACCACAGGGAATCACGTCATTACTGACAATGAATTTCTTGCATCTTCTTCTGAAGCACTTGGGCATATCTGTTGTCACAGGATACAAGTGCAGATGCAGGACTTACACAGTCTGACATGGCAAATGTTAATCCAATATAAAGAGATTTTTTGCATGAACCTGTCATTGAAGGTCTTGCCCTCCCTTATCCCCTTTTCTTTGGAGTATGCACACAACCGCCTTAGTTAAACTAGAGAAGGAAGTCTTCAGAGTGTTATGAAAAATGTTTTGAGTCTTTTCCACTGCTGCTTTTATGAGGATTACCACAGGAGGATTGTTAGTACAGGTCATACACCAGCAGCTTCAGTAGTATATTATGCAGCTTTCTTTGGGGACAGAGGTAGATATGACAATCATAAAGCCTTGCTTCTGAGCTGCCCCTTCTGAAGTTGTGAAAACTAACCAAACCACACAAACCAACATGCTAAGGAAATGTTAAGGAAAATGCTAATGCAGATAAAGTCTGGTTACACACAACAATTTTTGCATGACCTTATTTCATTCAGAATAGCTTGCTCTAGTCTTCACTGTAGTTCCTTCTGAGCTTCATAGAGTGAGATTCTCAGATAGAATACACACATTGACACCTTTAGCCTGTGGTCTCAAGAAAAAACTGAACACTACATGTTGCTCAGAACAGCCACCCTAATATTGAAGGAAACATGTTTAAGAGCAGTGTCAGCCAAAAACTTCCCATCAAATGTGGGCTGCTTTGTATCTGGGTGGGAGGTTCAAGCATGAAACTAGATTTTAACTGAACATCTTTCCTAGTTATTTGAAGGGGAATATCATTAATTCACCAAGACACCAAAGAGTAAAATCCAATTACATTTTAGGTGGAAAAAAACACCCAACCCCCCCAAAAACCCCAAAATGTTTGGCATTGGATTCTTTTTAATATTTCCAGAAAAATCGATTTAAAAAATAATTTTTGTCAGTAAGATTCCCCTTTGCCTCACCCATTTTCTTCAATATTTTGTGAAATGTCCATCCTCCTTTACTTTTTGAGCAGTTGTGTTAAAAACATATAGACTATCTCTGACGCTACCAGAATCAGGTATGTCCCTGAATGGGCTCCTCAGTATTCTTCTGATATAGTTATTTACCTACAGAATTGGGACAGGATTTTTACCTCCAGTGTACTTGTTGTGAGTTTATTGATGCCATGTTTAATAACGTTTGTAAAGCGTTTCATTTTATTTCTCTAATGGATAGCATTGAGGTAACCGTTTTGGATCCCTCATTTGACCAGCTACATACATTATATATGGGTGTTCTCTCACTGCCAACAATGACTGCATCAGTTTTTCTTTAAAATATGACCAAGGAGCCATTTTCACTTTCTGGAAAAGTGGAATGGAATAACCCATGTCCATGCAGTTTAGTTCTACCTGTGCATAATAAGAATGCTCTTATTCAGAGATGTCCCCACTTTAATTTGGATCTCACAAACCTATCTGCCTTCTCCTCTATACACAGACAGTTTAGCTTTCTGGAACTGCTGCTCAAGTCTCTAGTTCTATTACCAAGTCCCCGGATTGCTGTGTGGTGTCTGAAAGAACACAAACTCTAGAAATGCAAATGAACAGTATGTGGCAGACATTAGCTGCTGTAGCTAAAACTAAGTCTACTACACTAAAAGATGGGGATAGAAAGGCTTAGGAGTGCCACTGTCTTTGGCACAGACTTCTTTCCCGTTCTTAATACTGACCATGCCCATTAGCCTTAGAACGAAATTCTAACTGCTCACTAGTGTCATTCCATCAGTGATCTTCCACCACTTCTCAGAAAGATGCAAGAGATCCCTGCCATGTTCCAGAGTATCCTGCAGCCTGTCTTCAGCAGAAACTAAACAGCCAAAAGCTTCAAGTTTACAAACACTTTCCTGGGCATATTTTTAATATGTCAAATGGATCCATTTCTCAGATCATGTGGATTTAGAGGCCACCTGTGACAAAAGGTACGTGCCCAGCTAAGGTTCATGAAATAACTGTCTACATGAAAGTCACGGATATAATGCCTGGCCCTCCTGTGACCACTAAGAAAAGAAGAGCAGGAGAAGGTATTGGGGAAGCATTGCTTTAGTTGCTCTCCATACTTTTTAGCAATTAAAGTCACAGCATTAAGAATAGCCTTTATGGAAGAAAGTATCTGTACATATTTCCCTTTGTTCCATCCTGATGGCTGGATTGGTCCCAGTTAGACTCACCTACTGTTCTTGTGATCTTGGTGATGGTGAGCAGCACAAAAACACACACAGTCTTCCCAGCAATATTCATGTCGGCTCCTGCTTTCATGGCCCACCTCCAGCCTAGCTGTGGTCATGGGGAGTGTTTCTTGCCTGCCAGTGCATCCTCAGCAGCCAATGTCAGTGTTTTCTCTCCCCCTTTCTCACTCCTTTCCTCTAGCGCTGCGTGTTCCTGATCGACTGGCTCCTCAAAGCTGGAGAGGTTCCTCCTTCTGACTTCTCAGAGCACTAGGCTTCCTGTGCAGAGAGCCTAGGCAAACGCTGAGGAAACAGACTGAATAAGTCTGCCTTCCGTTCATTGGCTCTCCTCAGGGCGCTGATGAGTGAAGATAAACCCTGCAGCAGAGCTCAGAGGGGGTAAAAACAGAGGAGATTATTCAAGGCTGAGTTTAATATCAAAAAAGAAATCTTAGTCTTGGGAAGCTAGAGGGAAACTTACTCGTCATAGTCGTCACTACTACGCCTACTGCTACTACTTCTTTGTCACTGCCTCCAAGAAAATTCCTCCTCATGTCTGCCTTGAAAAAAGAAGCAGTCTCAAGCCTTCTCTGTAAGTGACATTTTCAATGATTTCTCCCTTCAGTAGCTAATTAGCTACTGGCAGCATAGCTCTCATCTTGAACAACAAGGCTTTCCAGACCCTCAGGGAAGAAACTGACTTTTGAGGAGAAAGAAAGGCCTCTTTTACATACTTTTCAACTGAAATAATAAAGAAACTGAAGCTGGTCCACATCTTTCACTGAAAAACTGGAGGGTTTTTTCCGAATATTGTTTTGTGGGTTTTTTTAAACAATACTGTACCTGTTTCCCCACTTCCTCACTGATCTCATCATTTCAGGTTCAAGGTTCCTTTTCTTTTCTTAAACCACAGTATTTCTGCAGCTCAGTTCTGTGGGCCAGCAACAGAGAAAAGGCCTCAGCTGTTGAAAGCTACGAGTCAGAATAACCAGCACTGAGGACAGAGACATAAGAGATAAAGACAGAAAATAGATCAAAGTTAGCAGGAAATCGAGCTGCTCAGGAGCTAGGACTGCACACCATGTTTGAACATCGGCAAGCTGTACTTATGACTGTAGTCTGACGTTCTGGTAATTTTATTTGATCAGGTTGGTGTTCCAAAATGGTCTGCACTGATACTCCTATGGAAATAAGTAAAAACCAAAGATTGATAATGATCATATAAAGAAAATTAGGTAAAACAGAAATTCAGCTTGATCGTTTTGGTCTCAGGATCATCTCATTGACTACAGTTTTGTGTGGGAGGGTGTTCTGTATATTTTTTCCCACTTGATTTTTTAAATTCAATAGATGTCAATAACATTTTGACACTCCGCACTGTTCTGAGGTTTTCGAGATGCTATCAAAGTAATTTCGGTTTATTTTCTGAGTATTTACCACTGACCTACAAATACGTAAGGCTTGTGAATAGGTACAATAGCTGTATTTTAGACAAGGGCATGGAGAGGAAGAAGGGGTGTTTATGCAAATAGAGATTAAGCTACAAGGCTGGAGAGAGAACTAAACAACACAAAAGCAGTATGAGGCTTCAAATGTAAAAGAAATAGTGCTCAAATTTGATGTAAAGGCAAGGAAGCTAAGGTGGTGTAAATGTGCAGACATGTGGCATAGTGGCTAGATGGTTGCTGCATGAACATAAAATAAATAAAAGATGTGGTGGGATAGAGGATATTTTGTAAGAGAGCAAACTGTCAAAAAAAAATCTTACTTTAAGTTGTCATAATGAAAGGTCTCTGCCATTCCTATAAGAAGACATTGGGAACCAGAAGACAGATAGCTGGATTCTTTTGGTAAACAAATATTATTTCAGGTGTCATTAAGATGCTTTGGAAGAAAATTTCTGGTTGGAGCCTTGGTTTCTAGGAAGAAGTGAAGGCCTCATATGAGAAGGTGTGGTGGGTTGACCTTGGCTGGCTGCTAGGTGCCCAGCAAATCTCTCTGTCATTCCCTCCTCCTCAACTGGACAGGGAGACAAAAATGCAACAAAGGCTCGTGGGTTGACATAAGGACAGGGGGATCACTGAACCATGGGCAAAACAAGATGGCCTTTTGGGCAGTGGCATGGTTTACAGGGTATGTTTCTGGCCAAGTGGTGGTTGCTTCCACCACAGTAAGTATGTAGCACTTGCCTTGGAGTGTTCATGCAGTGGTCCAATATAGTCAATTTGCCAGACCTCTTCATATTGAAAACCCAGCCACCATCCTCTATTCCAGGGAGATTTTCCTCATGTGGCTTGTTTGATTGCAACATGTTTCACATTCACGAGTGACCTGTGTGATGGCCTACACGGTCAGGTCCACCCCTTGATCATGTGCCCATCTGTATGCTGCATCTCTCCCTAGAAGTTTCCATGTTGAGTAGATCCACTGAACTACAAATAGCTCACCTTTATGCTCCCACCCTAGGTCCATCTGATCTGCTTCAATTTTGACAGCCCCGTCTACCTGTTCATTATTTCGATGTTCTTCGGTGGTATGGTTTTTGGGCATGTGAGCATAACATACCTTTGAAGCAATGTTTTCTATCCAGGCTGTGATGCCTTGCCACAGTGGAGCAACCCAGATAGGTTTACCTCTATGCTTCCACTGCTGTAGCCACTCCCACAAGGCAATAGCCACCATCCACGTGTCACAGTCAGACAGTTTTCTTGTTCAGCAATCTCTCAGGCTAGTTTGATGGCTTTTACTTCTGCAGACTGACTTGACCTACCTTCTCCTTCAGTGGCTTCAGCAACTGGCCATGTGGGACTCCACACATCAGCTTTCCACTTCTGATGCTTGCCTACAACACAACAAAGGCGTTATGCTCAGTAAATACAGCATAATGCCTTTCATCTTCTGATAACTCATTATACAGTTGTACCTCTTGGGCATAAGCCACCTCCTCAGGCAATGCTCCAAAATCTCTGCCTGCTGGCCAATCCATGGTCTTTTCCAGGATTTATGGGTGGTTGGGTTTCCCCAGTCAAGCCCACTGCATGATCAACCTCACCCACTTAGCACTGATTGCATCATGTGTAGAGGGGATGTTTTCTTTGAACACCCAGTGTAGCATGGGCAATAGCAGTGCCAAGAGGAGAAGTAATTCTATACCAGCAACTTATGAAGTTGCTTGAACCCTCTTGTATGTTGCTGAGTATCTCTTTTTCAGTCGATGTGTTGTGGGCTTCTGATCCTTGACACCTCAGCTCCAAAACATTGGGTTTCTCCTGATGTTTTCTACCAGAGGCTCCAGCTGAGACCATGCTCTCTGGCTGCAGTGTAGAGTATATTTAGCACAGCTAAGTCATCATTTGCTACCTCATGAGTCATCTCCTGTTTGATCTGCTCAAAGACTTGCTGCCCAAGGCCCCACTCAAAATAGTTCTTCTTTCGGGTTACACCGTGGAGAGGGATCGCAAGCTGATTAACTTGGAACATGCATTCTTCCAAATCCCACAAGGCCTAGGAGAGATCGTGTTTCTTTCTTGTTAGCTGGTGGAGACGTAATTGCTATCTTGTTGATCCTGTCCATAGTTACATGACAACATCTAGAAATCTGAAAACTGAGTCTGAGAAGTACTGCAACAGTTCCTTCTTCTGCCTTGTGAAAAATCTGCTATAGGCAGCAAAACTTGGGAAGTGAGGTAGGAGAAGCCTGTGACAGGACATGACTGAAAGCATAAATTTACCACAAGTGTTGTGTAGTTTATTTCTTATTCACTGGAGCCTTCCTCTCAGTTAAACACTGAGAACCAGGATCCCATGGCAGAGGAACTCAAACATAAAGGCCAGAGTGGGACAGAGGATGTCCTAGGTAGAGAAATAATGCATGTAGCGGAGGGAAAATTGTCAGTTTGCTGGCCACATCAGTCAGAAATGTAATGTGAATTTGATGGAGGGAGGAGAAAGAGGGGGAAGAACTGATTGTGATAGCTGAAGCTGAAGCCTGGGATGTAGCTGAGGATGAAGATGTTGCCAACAAGGTGCAACTAAAGATACACTTTCAGTAAATGTGCATTTCCACACAACAGCAGAGAAAACTTAAGCATTGTTTATTTAAGGTGCTACGCAGAGCCATCACAGCCTTCCCAGGGACTGAACTTTCCCTGTCTTCTGTGTTCTGAGAGCACAGATCTGGGCTCTGACTGTGGTTTTCAGTGTGGGTTACTGCAGAACTATTTTATGTTAACTATCATAATGTCATCAGCTATTGTTTGACAAAGGCAGAGTCTGTGATCCGCTCTGTTTGAAGTGGTTTTACTCAGCCTTAAAGTCCTTGCTGACAGCAGATTCCATGCTAATAGCTCGTTCAACAACAAGTGCATGAACTGAAAAGCAAGATTTCAATTATCAAGGTACAGACAGAAATCAAATTAATTTCCAATGATGAAATGAATATCAGAGTGCTGGAACCTCAGTTGGTATAAGCTTTTAGACTGTCCCAGTTCTATTGACTTCTCATGGAGCTACCATGACTTTCTCCACATGAGAATTCTCCCTGCTGTCTCTTTCTGTCAGCTGAGGATCCTAAATCTTGGGACCATACAGAGAGCTCAAAAGGCTGCATGCAAATGAGTGAATCCAATTATGACTGGAAAAAGGGAAATATAACCCCCATTTTCAAGAAGGGGAAAATGGATGACCCGAGGAACTAGACCAGTCAGTCTCACCTCTGTGCCTGGCAAAATCTTGGAGCAGATTCTCCTGGTAGGCATGCTAAGGCCCATGAAAAACAACAAGGTGCTTGGTGACAGCCAGTATGGCTTCACTAAGGGGAAATCCTGCCTGACCAATTTGGTGGCCTTCTATGATGGGGCTACAGAACTGATGGACAGGGGTAGAGCAGTTGATGTCATCTACCTGGACTTGTGCAAAGCGTTCGACACTGTCCCACATGACATCCCTGTCTCTCTAAATTGGAGAGACATCAATTTGATGGATGGACCACTCGGTGGATAAAGAACTGGCTGGATGGCTGCACACAAAGAGTTGTGGTCAATGGCTCAATGTCCAGCTGGAGACCAGTAACGAGCGGTGTCCCTCGGGGATTGGCGTTGGGACTGGTTTTGTTCAACACCTTTGTCAGTGACATGGACAGTGGGATTGAGTGCGCCCTCAGCAAGTCTGCTGATGACACCAAGCTGTGTGGTTTGGTTGATACCCTGAATGGAAGGGATGCCATCCAGAGGGACCTTGACACGCTTGTGAGGTGGGCTGATGCCAACCTGATGAGGTTTAACCATGACAAGTGCAAGGTCCTACACCTGGGTCGGAGCAATCCCAGGCACAGCTACAGGTTGGGCAGAGAAGAGATTCAGAGCAG